CTTGAAAAAGACAAGGAAAATAACAAGTAAAACTATACAAAAAAATTGAACAAGTAAAATAAAAATGCTATGACAAAACTAATTAACTTCCAGTTGCCAATTCCCCGGCAACGGCGCCAAAAACTTGTCCGCTGTTTGTGAGTACTAAAATATGATGCGGATATGTGTGCAAGTATACACAATCGAACAAGTAATAAAGTGATAAGTAGAGTATCGTCTCCACAGGGAATTGGGGAAATCAAATAGGTTTGTCAAGGCACTTTACTTTGTCACCTAAGTAAAGTTAGTTATGGTATATACAGATGAGAATGCAGTGGCAAAATGGAATGGACGTAGTGGAAATGGAGTGGTGATAGTGTGGTAGCAGATGGACATGTCGTGGCAAATTAAGTTGTGATACGTGAAAACAAATGGAAATGTCAAGGCAAAATAAAAATGCAAATACTAGATTTAATATATGTAGGACTTTAGCTTTCTCACAAGACAAGCACCAATGGAAATGAGTGATGGGAGACACAAGGAAAACTTAAGTTTATTTCTCTGAATGGTGCTTCTTCTATGCTTACCCTGCCCGATAGAGTCTACTGATGTGCCCTATGCTATCTCTAGTAAGGGACTCGACAGACTAAAGATGCCCTGGCAAAACCGATTGGCGTAAGCCCAAGCAGTGATCCTATTGACTCAGCTAATAGAATATGTCTCGGCAATACCTTTTTGCGGCATCATTAACATCTAACCTATCGTTTATACACAACTCCTTTTAGTCGAATGAAATCCTATTCTTATCTCTAAGGTGGATTAGGCCTAGTTACTATCTAGAACCCGTTGTTCATGTAGTTCCTCCCTAGCTTCTCTCGAAGACTAAAGATAAATTGCCAAGGCATTCTCTCGAACCTCATGAACCCTCCTAAGGAAAGGCTACTCTCGTAGCTCCTACAACCTCAAGGCTTTAAGCATCATAAACAAAACATAATAGAGCATGAAACAACAACCATTCATTAAAATAACAACTTAAATAACCATGCGAACTCCCACCAAATAGGATTAGTTCATGGTGGGGTTCGAAATCAACAAGCACAAAGCAAGATTCATTCGTTCCTTACAACCCAACAACAAAATATAAAAGCAAGTACTAAGGGGAGGAGAAAAATCCTTTAACGTGCACTGCCAAATGCTTTCCTCGGCCACCAAGGACTGCTCCCAGCGAACTAGCTCCTCTTGGATGCTTAGAACGCCACTCCCTTCTACTAGTCAAGGAGAAATGCCACGGCAAGTGGGATTGACGGAGAAAGATGAGACTTTCTCTCTCTAACTTTTTAAGATCAAATGTGGCTGGAACTAAAGTCTTCTTCAATATGGCTTCCTCCTCTATTTATAGGGGAAAAGAAATCCTAAGCTTTGGTGTTAACCATCCTAGTAAACCCCAAAACCATGGTTAATTTGCTTGGGAGTCGGGCAGAGCTGGTTGTGATCCAGCCTGGGTTGCTGGCTTAGACCCGGCACAATCCCACTGCAGACGCCCAAGGACAGACAGAACCTGCAAGGTCAGGCGGCGTTATTATCAAAGTCGGCGGTTGCAGTGCCGGTTCCTCCAGGTAGGATCTTCGAGGCATATTTCTTGGGCAGAGCTCTCGAGGAGTCAGAGACCGCTGGCTGCAAAAATATCTTCTTTCACTTTGTTCGCTTTCGAAATGCCAATCAGACTCGGCATTTTCATTCTGCTCAGCAGTCTCCTTATGCCACGTAATTTTCTTTCCTATTTTCCTTGCTTTCAATACCTGCACACCATCAGACAAGTACCTTTCCCATAAAGCAGTACCGCTGTAAAAATAAAATGCCACGACAAACTGAAATCCACCACATGCAACTATATGCTCCTAAATGCATCTAAATAGTCCTAAATGGGCTCTTAGACATTCAATAACTTAAGTGAAAAGGTCCCAAAATATAACCTTTTCAAGGAGTTATACATATACATATACATATACATATACATATACATATACATATACATATACATATACATATACATATACATATACATATACATATACATATACATATACATATACATATACATATACATATACATATACATATACATATACATATACATATACATATACATATACATATACATATACATATACATATACATATACATATACATATACATATACATATACATATACATATACATATACATACATATACATATACATATACATATACATATACATACATACATATACATACATATACATATACATATACATATACATATACATATACATATACATATACATATACATATACATATACATACATATACATATACATATACATATACATATACATACATATACATATACATATACATATACATATACATATACATATACATATACATATACATATACATATACATATACATATACATATACATATACATATACATATACATATACATATACATATACATATACATATACATATACATATACATATACTTTCACCTCAATACAATGGACGCAAGGAGCATTGCATTGGAGCCATGTTAGGTCACTTCCAGTATTAAGATCAAGAAAGCAGGGCTTGGGAGGGTGGCCGATATTGATGGTAACATTATAGTACCTAAACCAGACATCATAACTCCATGATTTCAACCATATGTACACAATAATTCGTGAGCATACAATTATATTATGCGCATGGAACAAGTTGCAGATGAACTTCTGCCTGAAAAAGTTAAAAAAGAAGCCATTAAATTTGCAGAACTTACCCTGTTGGGTACACATTTCTATGGATAGGGAACAAGATGGAGGATCCAACTCTATTCATCATCATCATAGAAGAAGAAGAAGAAGAACCATTGTAAGCTGACATCATTGCTTTCATCCATCTCTGATCAGAAGCCGAAGAGAGACTCAAAAACAGTAACTTGATGAACACATTCACTTGCCCTTTTCACATTTTATTATCTCTCTTTCTCTGTAGCTACCCAGGAGGAACTTTCAGTTGGCTATTTCCTGTTTGTTTATTGTATATGTATACATAAGGGTTGATTGATTGGTGAAAATAAAAAAGAGGTGCTTTTCTTGTAGGTAAATAATTAATGGGAATTGCTTGGTTCTTCAGACTTGTCGTTCATGGTGTTTCTGTGTTGGTTTCTTCTGTTGTGTTTCCATAAGGTTCTTTTTCATTCATTGCCTTCCCTTTGCTGTTAGATGGGAGGATTGCAAAGTGGTGTTTTCTTTGGAATAATTTCTATACCATAAACACATTATCCAAAATAAATAAATTAATATATAAAGGTTTAATAATCAATTTAGTCCTCAAACAATGTCCATTTTTTTTCATTTTAGTATTTTTCATTCATTTTGGTACTTGAACTCATTCCACCTTAATTTACCTAAAGAATATCATTGTATCTTTGTGGAACTTAAAAAGTCGAGTCGAGTCGATTTAAATTATATTTGTGTTTACGATAAAAGATTTCAACTTGAGATAATAATATAATTATCCCTTATATATCTAAGGATAATTGTAATGACACTTCTCAATATTTTTTAATTAGACAAATAATTTTCTAATAAAAATAAAAATTATATACATATTTATATCAAGTCGGGTACAAATTTTTACCTCAAAAATCATATAAATTTTGAATAAGATAAAAATTATTTAAATTTGAATCAATCAAATAACAGACGACAAAATATAATTCTCAAATCAAACTCGGGTCTACCAAAAACCGACCCAATCTTACCTATACCTATTCCTACTCGTGTGCATACCTATATAAAAATGATATCATTTGTTCATGTCATGCTTTTGCAAGTCAATTGTTAATTATTTCTTTAAAGGATATTAGATAAAGTAAAAGGGAATGAAAATTTATGTAGATAAAAAATTTATGTGGATCAAAAACAAAAATTTGATACTAAAACGATAAACTGATCTATGTGTACGCTATGATGGACATGTGTCAATTTTGAAATCTGAATTTTTTTTTATATTTGTTCTTGATTTTATTTATGTGTCCACCTTAAAATTTTATTTGTATCTATTCTATACAAAACTTTTTTGTATTATTGGATCACCCTGAAAAATATTTCTCGATCCGTCACTATAAATGAAAATAGTGTAAAGATTAAATTGATAATGAAGTCATCAAATAAATATGTTTTTATTAAAAAGAAAAATGGCAAGAACAAGTCAAACAAGGGAAAAAGTTTTGAGGAATAAAACAAAAGATCAAGGGCTAATTTGATTTTTTAAAAAGATCAAGGGCTTATTTGATTTAAATAATTTTATATTTATAAATTATTATTTTTTAAATCAAATAAGCCCTCTATCTTAAATCTTCTGCATTTATAGAACATTGCAATACACAAAATATTGGGGGGCACCTTACATCTTATAAGAACTTGATATTTTTTCATCTTTTGGCTTCGATTCTCCAATGGTAAAAAGATCAGCACATTCCGAAGCAAGACGGCAATCTCTGTTATAAGCCGATCAATCTGATGCAGAAAGGGCTGATTGCAACACATCTTCCAGATATTTTTCGGCAGCGGCATACTGCCTTTTCTTGTCGTCAATTGCCAAGGCAGCTAAAGCTTTATCCTGCATTACAACGACAATAATAATGGTGATAATGAGCTTGTTAGCGTATCTTCCTCGTTTCAAGGTTAAGGATATGGAAAATAGGGACCCTAAGTTGAAAACATTCTAGACAAAGAAGACAACAAAATTGAACTTACCATTTGAATAAACAGTGTTATCTATATCATGACTTTTCAACAAGGATGCAAGTTTTACATGACATGCGGTCCCAAGCAGGGTGCCACCAAAATGTTAAAGACACAAGGAAAAACTGAGTCTAGTTACGTTTTTGATGAGATTAACAGCACATTCTTCTGTTCATTTGTTTATATAAAAACCGTAGAAAGAAATATACAAATGAAAACCATGTGAATATGCATAGCAACCTACAACTTTTGTAGCTTTACATGAAGACATGATGGGAGATGAACCCAATTGGACGGGAGGATCCTAAACCAAATAGTTAAAAGAGTTTGATACAGGAAAGAAACACGAGTATAATGGAGTAGAAATTTTTATATGTATGGAAAAAACATGAACGCCAAAGCATAATAGTGTCCCAATGTCAACCATAAATAACATATTACCGGAGGCAGGTCCTGGTAGCTCCTCAAGGTTTCTAAGATGGGTTTGGTGGTCTTCTCTAAATCCTTCCTGTGCTCGGTCATTTCAACTAACACCCCATGATTAATTTCGGGTGTGTAGCCCACACGATTTAGTAATGCCTGCCAAACAAGATTAAGCATAAATAAAATGCAGAAAGAATTCATGCAAACAACATATAGGTGATAATTTGATCACCAAAAGCTTGATAAATTAACAATGAGTATGAAAACAAGACTAGTTACATTCTTGCTTTATAACTCTTAGACCAACCATATCGATAGAATGTTCCTGGATAATGAACAACATACAGGATGGATCAGACTCCAATGATCCTCATCAAAACTAGTCAGAACACAGGAGTTTATTGTTTGCAGAATGGCGCCTAATTAGCAGCATTAATGACCACCTATAAAAGTAGGGTTGAAGGCTTTTAGAACTAATACAAGGTCATCAAACAACCTATGGTCTATCCCTTACATTATCGAAACAGGTAAGACTAACTTCATCTTCAGCTTAACTTGACACCAAAAGCCCAAACTAGGGAAAACATTGCAAACGAGCTGACACTTTTAATTTATGGTATAAATCAAGTAGAATTAAATTTCATAGATTAAGCAATAGATAAGTAATTTGGAAGCCTGTCATCTTACCAGAATTGCAATCTAACCAACCTAATAATTGAAAGGAACAAGATGAAGTGGAATGATTGGAGGCTCATGATTTACCAAGGTGAATTGAAATATTTAAATGTAAAACAATGTCATATATATCCAAGCCAGCATCCTTTCTATATTTTCTAGGTGACATTGATCAACTTTAACCCAGCCAAATATCCAGTTGAATTTCATTCACTTTTGGCAAAGGCAACTTCTCTTTCCATCCAATTTTGTCGCTTTGAACTGGTAAATAGCATGGTCATGCCAGAAGAACTTAACACTCTGTAACTAGTTTTGCATCTTGATGCTTCCCAGAAAACAATAATACAAAAGGAATCATACCTTATAGTTGTTATACTGTTGCATGTACCGTCGCTCCTTTGATGCCATAACTCCCAAGTTCGTCTTCCAATTTTCGATTTGAGCATCACATGGAGCCACATCATCTTCTAGTTGAGCTAATGTCCTATGTTGAAAAAGCAACTTCTTTTCAGTAAACACCATATAGATTCCAACAATAACCTCAATCAGGTTGGCAAAAGAACAAGTTTTACCTTTTCAAATAGGTTCATTGCTAAAATATCTCCAAATTACACTATTTGAGCCCTGTAAACTAATAGGATAATGTTGCAAATAATTTTATCTTCAACAACCAAAAACATTTTAGAAAGGCTACTTACCTCGCTTCTTTCTCTTCCATCAGTACCTTCCAAATCCATGGCAACTGTGAAAGGCTTATGCCAACAAAATTTGCAATCCAAATACCCTTCGTAGTCTTGATTCTTGTAAATCTGCAATGAAATGATATCTATTAACATGTCTATCAGGTGAAAGTATATAAAAAAGCAACAAAATATTTGTAAATGTTTATTACATTGAAGCTATAAGATTTGAAAAGCGAAAGAACAAGTCTTTTTCTAAATGCATTCATCTTTCTAAAATGTGTATGGAAAAGATGATTTAACATGGAGCTCTTCCCTGTCTACAGAAGACAAAGCCTTTTTAGTTTACAAGGCTAATTATTTTTAAAATGACATGTTCGAATCGGATATTCATATATTCGGTCCGAAAATGTCCGAAAATTCGGATATCCGATTTTTTCGGATCGGATTAAGATCATATTTTAACTATCAGAAATTTTGGATATTCAAATTTTCGGATATCTGATATCCGAATTTGCACACCCCTAGATTGTTTTTTTTATCATAAATCAATAATAATTCCAAGGGTAAACTACATAAATGGTCACCAAATCCTACTGTAGAACCAGAACTGGGTTCGATTCCTCGACCGATCAGAATTTGATTGGATTTGGATAGGATTTTTTAGGGTAGATTTTTTTTACCTGTTGTTAATTAGTGAAGATTTGGGTAAACTATTAATTTGTCACTTTTCTTTAGTATTTGTACACTTTTAATCATTAAATTCAAAGAAGTTACATTTTGATCACTTAAGTTATCGGGTTTATTAATTCCGGTCAATTACGTTATCAATTGTTTTATTTTAGCCATTGAGTCGTTAATTCATGCTAGTTTGATGATGTGGTATTTTACTAGAAAGAGATTAATTATTAATTTGACTTTTGAACTTTGGATTGAATATTAATTTGACATTGAACTTTAGATAAAAATATCATTTTAACCACTAAACTTTAAATAAAATATCAATTTGACCCCCTGAATTCAACCAAATTCCCATGTTGCTCTCGCTACACACCCCTAAATTGTGATTATTATTTTAAATTTGTCCCTAAACTTTTGAAAATTTCAATGTCATTCATAAATTATGACTCTCATTATGAATTCGTCTTTGAACTTTTGAGCATTTCAAATTCATACCTAAAATATGGCCCACATTTTATATTGGTCCCCAAACTATTAAATGTTCCAATTTCATCTCCAAACTTTTGAATGATATTGGAATATTAAAAAATCTAATGACCAATTTAGAATAAGAGTCATAGTTTGTGGTTGAATATGAAATGCTTAAAAGTTTGAGAACCAATTTATAATGAGAGTCACAATTTTGGGATAAAATTATAATATTGAAAAGTTTAAGGACTAAATTAGAATGAGAATTATAATTTGTGGTGAAAGTAACTCAATAAACAATTAATCTTTAAAAGATTGCTTTATAAATAAAAAAAATGCATATTGCATATTGTTTATTTTTAATAGAAAAGGTTTTTTTTGGGGAAAGGCATCATAGGTCCCTATATTTTTTTAAAAACTAATGCAGTCCTCATAATATTTTTTTTTCTCAAGTGGCCCTTAAACTCATAAAAAAATCGAGTGTGGCATTTTGAACAACGTTTTTTTGTTGCTAACTGTTACATTGTTGACGTGGTAGTTAACGATGTTGATGTGGTAGTTCATCTGTCATGTTTGAGTTACCAATTTAGCCCATCTGCCATATTATCTGTCACGTTATCAACCACCATGATCTACCACATCAGAATTGTGGACTACTATATTAGCATCGTAAACTGTCAGGTCAGCACCGTAACAGTTAATGATTACAAAATATTGATCAAAATGTAAGTTTATTTTTTGAGTTGAAATGCTATATTAAGATAAAAAAAATAATACGAAGAGTACATTAATATTTTTTTAAAATTACAAGATTTTTTATACTTTTTAATTTTTTTAATTTATTTTGAGAGATGAACATCAACCTAGATCGAACACGTTGTGTTTCTCTCTCTCATGTTCCGTGTAATATTAACAAAAAATAACCATATTTTACGTGAACAAACATGTTTAACTTGGGAGAACCCCACCATTCCTCGTTTCCAGCCTGCAACAACAACGGCATAACAAACCCTAGGCCAAATTCTCCCATCTCTAATGGGTTCTTTCCCGATCCCATTAGTCTAAAACATGGCTCATCATCATCATGATCGAATTCGCTCATAATTCTCTCGATAATACCATTTCTTTCTAGATTTCATCCAAATGACGGAACCTGGTGAAGATGCCAGCCAGGTTTACATATGGACCATAGCTTGCATCTTGTTCGTCTGCGTCTTTGTCGGCGGTGGCTGCTTTTTGGCTTACGTCACCGTCGACGAGTACCAATCGTCGAGCTTGCTCCCCGTGCTCGGGTTCGTATTCGTTTGCACGCCATGGATATTCTGGATCCTGACCGTAATGTACCGGTTGTTGTCGAGGGCGTTCGGATTCAGGATGATGTTGCGCAGCTTGTACGTTAACAACACCGCCAAAGTCTCCGGAAACAATGGCAGCGGTGGCGATGAACGTAAAGGCGCTGATGATGTCGTTGTTGATGTGGATGAGAAATCTAATGAGAATGATGGTAAAACTAAAGATGTATATGATGCTTCACCGTGAACCATTTGGAAACTTCAATTAATTTTCGGCTTAATGCATAAATAAGTGCCTAAACCTTCTTTAAAATTGACTTTTGGTGACTAAAGAATTTTTCGTTAAAAAAAGATACCTAATGTTTTCTCTGTTACACTTTTAGGTGTCTTAAAAAAAACGTTAAGTTGCATGTGTCACATTAGACACCTAAAAGTGTAATGGAGAAAACTTTAAATATCTATTTTTAACAAAAAAAAAATTTATACACCAGAAGTCAATTTTAATTATAGTTTGGATACTTAATTTTATATTAAGTCTTACTTTTCAACAAGGTTGGACCTCGAAGCCATTGATGATTAACTTTTCACATGGGAAGGTTTCCCCCCCCCCCTCTTTATTTCATGATTATAGATAATTATACTGAGCTTTTAAGGTTTAAATTGTTGTTTAACTTCAATATAGAGGCTAGCCCTTCTTTTACAACCAAAAAAAGTCTATATTGGTAAGAAAATGCACAATATAGACCCAAAAAATAAGAAATTCATTGTTGTCATTCTCCTAGAAAATGCCATCTTTGGTTTCTTTTGTGCCTGAGATTAAAATAAAATTGTATTTTTAAAGGACTAAAATGAATTATTGATGATTACGAGGGACTAAAATTACTATTATTCATTTAACCTTACCGTGTTTATTATATAACTAAGAAATGGACAAATTTGAAAAATATCCTCTCTGGTTTTCTTTTTCTTTTTTGCTCTTTTTGATACCATGGTGTATTATCTGAACCTTTCTCAATGGCTTTGTCTATAGTGGTTTGTAAGGTTGTAAATAAGATGAGACATATCGTCAGCTACTCGAAATCGACACGATCAAGGCTCGATAAATACTCGGATCGAATGGACTCGACTCGAGCTCGACTCGAGTTCTTAACGAGCCTAAACGAGCTACTTGATATTCGACTCGAAAAGCTCGTGAGCAGCTCGAAAATATAATATATTAAGATTTTTAAATAAATTATTAATAATGTTAACATTTATGTATTGATTTTTTTAAAATACAGTAAGATTTTCATGTATTTAAGGTTCAAGTTTGAGTTTGAAGCTTCAATCGAGTTAAGTTTAAGATTTTTTTTTTCATTTCGAGCCTTTTCGAGCTGCTCACGAGCTTCAGTTCAGGATTTCGAGTCGAGCTTGAAAATTATAAGCTCACGAGTTTTCGAGTCAAGTCATCGAGTCGAACTCAGCAATACTCGAGTTTGACTCGACTCGTTTACACCCCTATTGATTTGATCGGCTGCCCAGGATGCAACGGAGGTTGTTGTCAACTAGGAGTCGGCGTCGGATTAAATTGATTCGAAACGAGTTAAAATATTTTGAGTTGATTGAATTAACGAGTTTAATTCTATCATTTTAATTTATTTTTTAATTAAATTGAATGATTGAATCGATTAAAATATAGATTGATTGATTAAGGATTCTTTCGTCAATTTCTGGATCGATACCCTTTTATATCGTGTAAGCTAAGAGTCTTTTAAAGGACAACAAAGAATAAAAGGAAAAATAATTAAAAAAATAAAGAATTTAATTATATGAAATTTGTAAAAAATAAGAAATATGCATAATACTCGACATATATTTACGTAAACACGAATTAAATAACAATCCCAATATATATATATATATATATATATATATATATATATATATATATTTATAAGTTTTGAATGCAATCATTCGATAAGTGTATATTTAAACTATTATATTTAAATATTTTAAAAAATTAATATCTAAATAACGTGAGATTTGAGAATCTAAAGGTTAGAATTTCTTTTAACTGCTATACTAATATAAGTATCATCAAGCCCAAGACATATCTTTGACAACTCAAAATTAGTAATTTTGCTTATAAAATTCTTAAATCATATATTATTTAGATATTGATATAAGCTCCGTGAGTGATTGAAGATAATGTCCATACACATACGTCGCCACCCGACTCATGTTTTTGTTCGTATAAATATGTGTCATGTTCATTTTTTTTGGACATAATTCGAACAAATTATTCTTAATTTTTAATCTAATTTTTTTCTTTTATTTGTTTTGACTCAAATTTTGAAAACTCTGATTAATTTTCTATCACATAAATAAATGTGCTTTCTATTTAAAAAAATATTTCTAAAAAACACATATAATGTGACACACATTTATTTAAGGCTTAATATATTTTTAGGTGTCTAAACTATACCTTAAATTGACTTTTGATGACTAAAGAATTTTTCGTTAAAAATATATGCCTAATGTTTTTTTTGTTACACTTTTTGGTGCCTACAGTTAATAAAATCCGTTAAGTGACACATGTCACTTCCATATTTTTTAAAAAATATATAAACGTACCACATGCCACTTAACAGTTTTTTAGATACCTATTTTCAATAAAAAATTTCTTTAAACACCAAAAATTAATTTAAAATATAGTTTAAGCCCTGTACAAGTCTTTATTTAAAGAGAAATCATCTTTATTTTGGGCATATTTGGGTAAGTAAGCCCTTTCACCCATCATTTTGATGTTATGATTTTGATTCTTTATAAGCTATCTTATTTATCTTTTCAGCTAATCGCATTTTATGCTTTTATTAGATGTGTATTATTCGCATTTCATATGCGTTAAAAGTTCGTAACCAATAACAAAAAAGAGTAAAAAAAGAATTTGTGCAGAAGAGAGTAAACCGAAATGTTAAGTGGATTGCACCCCCGATTGGTCGGATAACATTGAATATGGATGGTGCTCGAAGAATTAGTCACTTGTGGTGGAGTCCTCCGTAACCATCGGGCGGATTGGATCGTAAGATTCTCTTAGTTTATTGGATGCTGTTCGGCGATTGACGCGGAGTTATGGGGGCTTTATACAGGTCTAAACATTGCATGCATGGGACAGGATGTTTCGCAGGCTAATAGTGGAAACTGATAGTAAAAAGGCAATTGAAGTCCTTCAACGACATCCTAGAGTTGACGGCATTTCTCCGATGGTACCGCACATTGCATGCATAGGACATAAAGTATTGCTTTGTTGAGTCATTCTACTATTAAAAGTTACAAAATGATCACCCGACTATTCATTATGTTCCAAACTCGTCATTCTCCGTTAGAAAAATTACAATATTTTGAGCTGAGCATTAACTGCTAACTATGATATGATAAACTATGATCACAGAATCTCAAACGACTATCATATTACAATCATCATGTTAAATCCAACTTAGATAACTACCAATTTTTTAACGAAAAATGACGAGTTTGGAACATAATAAATAGTCTGGTGACCATTTTGTAACTTTCAATAGTCAAAGGACTTAACAAAATAATATTCTATAGTCGATTGACCATTTTATAACTTTATATAGTCGAGTGGCTTAATAAAGTATTACCCTAAAGTTGGGGACCATTTGTGTACTTTATCCAAATATATTATTTATAACAATCGAGTGATCTATTTATAAATTTTTTAAATTAAGTGATTTATTTATAATCTTATTAACAATTTCTTTTTGCTCAGCAACAATATAAATTTATTAAGGATTTGGATTTACAAACTTAAACTTAAGTTTTGTACTTCGTTAAAAACCTCCCTAAACCTATTTGAAGGAAAAGAGTACAACACAACTACATTAGCCTTCCTTTCAACAACACAACCTAATTCACCTTTCTTTTCAACTATAAATTACACATACAATTTCCTACAAAACTTTTTGATCAAAAGCGAATAAACAAAATCGAAACCATACTCCCATCCTCCCTATAGAAAGGACACTTACCACCACACAATTACATGTAATATAATTTTCCCAAAAATAACAAGAAATGGAAAATTTTAGGATCAGGTACACAAATGGTCCATTGACTATAAAATATTTCTTTGTTGAGTCACTCGACCATTAAAAGTTATAAATTAGTCCCTCGACTATAGGATATTGGTTTGTTGAGTCACCCGACTATTCATTATGTTTCAAACTCGTCACTTCTGGTTAAAAATTGACGGTCGTCTAAGTTAGACGTTAACATACTGACTAAGATATGATAGTAGTTTGAGCTTTTGATATCAGATTTTATAATATCTCAGTTGGCAAGTTAACGTCCAGTTCAGACTGTCGTCAATTTTTAATAGAAAATGACGAATTTAGAACATAATGAATAGTCAGGTGACTATTTTGTAGCTTTTAATATCCGAGTGACTCAACAAAGCAACACCTATAGTCGGGATCATTTTATAACCTTTAATAGACCGGAGACTCAATAAAGTAGTGCTTTATAGTTAGATTGCCGTCAATTTTTAATAGAAAATGACGAATTTAGAACATAATGCATAGTCATGTGATTATTTTGTAGCTTTTAATAGTCGATGGACTCAACAAAGCAATACCCTATAGTTGGGATCCTTTTGTAACTTTTAATAATAAGGAATTCAATACAATAGTGCTTTATAGTCAGGGGACCATTTGTGTAATCTACCCAAAATTTTAGTAATTTAATAAGAGTATTATAAGAAATAATTTCCTTTTTGCTCCCCTTAATCTCTGTTAATTTACGCAAGAACCGAAACAAGCTTGTGTTTTGTGGACTAGTCACCCTACAAGTGCAAGTGCTAGCTTATGCAGAACAGTTTGTGCCCTTAAATACATGCGAAACTAGTTATTACTATACATGCAATATGCTTAATAGTTTAAATAGTAAAATCATTTTTAAGTCCATCTAAAAATCATAAACTCATAAATTAGGACATGGCAAAAATTACATTTCAGTTCTCTTAAAATGATTAAATTATAATTTCATCTTTCAAAAAAATATAAAGTTATAAATTAATACAATGACAGAATTATATATTAGTTAATCAAATTATGCATGAAAAGCATAATAATAACATATATTAAAATGTATATATGAACTTAATTAACAATATTGCAAATGAATATAGAAGAAGAAGAAGAAGAAGAAAACTGGAAAAGAGATCCAGTTGTTCTTACCAAACGTCCCACAGAATCAAAATCTTGCTACTGTAATTGCTTTTGAAAGGAATCGGAAGAGAAAGGCAAGGAAAATGGTTGCTCCGTAGGAAGAAAAGGAGGGTGGTGATGATGAAGATGATGATGATTAGACAAAACATTTAATGAAGAATATACATTATTGTTGTTGTTGCTGAACCCTAAATTTTGTTCATATTCGGATTTTTGTTGTCGGACGAGTTGTTGTTGTTGTTGTTGGTGGTGGTGGTGATGTTGTTTTTGCAGCTCCGGTCTTTGTTGCTTCGGGAAGATAAGCTTCTCGTCTTCGATCTCTCGATATTTGCTTAGGTATAACTTCAAGGGTCCGACGTATTCCTCGAACCCTAACGTCGTGATCGCCCATATGATATCGTCTCCGTTTATCGTCTTCCTCTTCTCTCTCTGGCATTTGTCCGAGGCTTCTCCGGTGACGAAGCTGATGAACTCCGACACGCATTCCTGGATCGTTTCCTTTGCGTCTTTGGAGATCTTCCCGTTGCTCGGGATCACTTTCTTCAAGATTCTACTCACGTTTGCTATCGGAAGAAATCGATCTTGTTCTTTATTGTTGTTGCCGCTGTTGTGATTATTATTGATGGTGGTGTTGCTATCGCTACATGTGACACGTGGGCTCTCGGGTTTACCTTTACTAGCCACATGCGTCACATTTCCATGGCTAATCTCATTTTCCATTTTTTTTCTTTTTTATGATAAAAATGCCTCACAATGCTTTAATAATAATAATAATAATAATAATAATAAAAATAATAAAGAGAGAATAATTGCTAGTTTTATTTTGGATGAAATAGATGGAGACATTTGCATGAAAGTAGGGTTTTGAAGGTGAAACTAAACTAATGCCTTGTTTTAACCTAGTGACTCGCTCCTCATGCATGTGAATTTGTTATGACCATGACTTGATCTCATAAACAAATTATTGATTTTCTTTATTAATATATAATCAGATTAATATTTTTCGAGATTCAATTTATCATTTTCGCCCTTATCATATTTTCGTATCAATCTAGCCCTCGAAGTTGTTCAATTGCATTCTAACTTAAATCCTAAATCATAATTCTTAAACCCTAAATCATAACTCCATAACATCTAATCCGTAAACACTAACCCTTCATCCTATCTTAGGATTTATAGTTTAGGGTTTAAGTTAAAGAATAATATATATAATGATGCAATTAAAGAATTTTGAAGGGCAAATTGATACGAAAATACGATAGGGGCGAAAATGATAAATTGGGTCTACTACATGGATAAATGTAACCTTTATCCTATTTAAAATTATAAGAGTAATAGTTCTATTTTACCAATTGAAATATATTTAAAATTTTAAAAATAATTGTCGATTATAAAAATTCATAACCAATAACTTAATTGACTTACCTATTTCAGTGGTTTACAAAACTAAATAACCATTATAGCCTACTTTACTAAAAACTATAGGTTAAATCAATTAAGTAAGTTTGAATAATCTTTTACTCGCTATAAATAATTAGATTTTATTTGTATATAAAAAATATTTTATTTGTTTTAAATGGTTGAATCAATTAACATCGAATTATTTAGGCTTAACCAAAGTTTTAGGCTTGAATTTTTTTTGAATTAATCATTGGTTTCCGATCTATTGACCGACTAATTCAGATCGGGTACTGCATAGGCGAGGGCGACCATCCCAACCCAGTTTGCTCCATTCACAAATGCCAGGATTCGAATCTCTGACTTTACATAAGAGACCTAGTGTCTCATCCCACTAGACCAACTGGTTTGAAATTTTAGGAACGTATTAGGGTAAAATATTTGATAGGAGAGTTTTGTTATCCTTATAATCCCTTTTGATTAGATGACGGTAATCTTTACTTTAATCAAGATACTATGAGGCAAAGATTTGACGGTGAAAGTAAAATAAAGTTTTTTATCCAAGATTTAAGGGAAAATAAAAAAATACATAAAACATAAAAGTTTATTATTAAAATAACACAAGTCCTTTGTCATTTCCTTTTATATATATATTCATTTCATTTTTTATCACTTCAATAATATTTTTTATCTTTAGTATATTTTTAAAATTAAAAAAATTTAAAAAGTATAATTAAATAAAAATACATGAAGCGTAACAACTTAGAGATTCTGAAATAAGTAATATTGATTTTTATTTCGAAATATGAATTTGGATATGAAAATAAGGTTTGAGGTTCTTTGTTTGAGTTCAGTAGGCTCGTTTAGGATGGTAAATCAGTCGAATCGAGTTTGAGTATTGTTGAGTTTGATTCAACTCGAAAACTCTACAATAGAATTCAACTCGGTTCAAAATCTCGCGAGTCTAACATTTTTAAGTTCGACTCGAACTCAAAACTATGAATTGAATCTCGTAAAAGCTCGAAATAATTTTTTTTAACTTAACTTGATTGAAGCTTAAACTCAAACTCGAACCTGAACCATAAATACATGAAAATTTATATTGTATTGTTTTAAAAAAATCAATACGTAAATGTTAATATTATTAATAATTTATTTTTAAAAAAATAAATTCTTAGTAATATATTATATTTTCGAGTTGCCTGTGAGTTTTTCGAGTGGAGTATCAAGTAGCTTGTTTCGACTCGTTAAGAACTTGAGTCAAGTCCATTTAAGTAAAGTATTTGTCGAACTTTGACCGAGTTAATATCGAGTAACTCACGATCTGTCTCGTCTCATTTACAGAAGCAATAGGCTCATTGCTGAAACTTGAATTCCAGGACATTTGGATACCTGAAAATGCTGGTTGCTACTTCCAATGAATTCTCGACTCATTGAGAAAATAATTTCTTCACTTCCATGAATGCCTGAACATCATTTTCCTTTAAAGAAATGACATTGATTACATGAAATCTTGGAAACCAGGCTCATACTACTTTAACATGCCTACTTAACATGCTACAAGCCTCTACAAGGGCTTTTACATAGGGAACTAATCACCAAAAATTGCAGCTAGCAACCACAAGAGAGAAGAGCAAAAGGCAAAATGGAGAAACCGATGCCTAAGGAATGGCGTGCGTGAGCGTCTCGATCTCCGTAGGTCGCCACATCGATTTCTGGACACAAATCAACCCTTCCTTGTCCTGCGAGTATATCTTCTCGACTTCCCAATGCATGGACCGGAATATATCCTCCAGCTCGCTAATAGTCTCGACATGGTCCCGAGCAATAAGCTTCCCTCCTGGCCTTAGTATTCGATCGACCTCGGCAACTAAAGCAATGAAATTGCACCTACGTGCTCGAAAACCATAGCTCGGTTAAAGGGTGAAGCAGATGATCAATAGCACATTATGGCTCATACTGGAAACAGGGATTCTGCTCTAAGCATAAATGTAGATCAAGGAAAATACTGATATGATACCAACCTCTTTTGAACCTTGGAGAATATATGGTCAGCATGGAGAAGATCGTAAGATCTCGGATAAGTGCTAAATGATTCACACCAATCATGATATATACCGAACAGACCTCTTTCATATATGATGGGAAGTGTGTCTGGAGAGTCGATCGGGACGACATTCATGACCCATAGATTCTTATCTTTGAGTGCTGCAGCAAATCTGAGAGCAAACCGCAGTCAGAATCCAGGAAAAAGGAGACGAAACAACATAACGACAGAGTAATGGGTCGAACAATTATAACCGTTGCTTACCCTCCATAAATAGCTCTCATGTCCATGACATTTCGGACAGATGACCAGTCTATTCCCATACTATTCATGTATGACTTGGTGACCACCTGTTTCCAGTGCTCAATGTCGGCAGTAAAATCCTCTGGTGCTGCTCTGCCATAAACTCCAACTTGGGAACTCGACAACCAATAAGGTGGTTTTTCCAACCTTTCTGGCCAAAGCTCAGGCCACTTAGACCCACGTTTTGATACATCTACGGGCACTTTGTGCATGCATGTTTGAAGTGATACATTCCTACAGATAAGAATCAAATTAAATAGTTTTTACATCCAAGTCAAAAAAGAAAAAGAAAAGTATTACCACGCCGCATTTGGATCATCGGACTCAGGACATAATGGAGGGACTTGCTGTGGCCTTCGCTCATAGCAGTCATTAGATTTAGGCTTTCTAAATGTTGCTATAGCCACCTTATTTACTGGTTCCATTTTAGTTTCGTTTAAGAACTCCCAACACAAAGATTTTGTTTGTTCAATCATAGCTGCACAAAACGCACACATAAATTCAGCAGGATCAGTACACATTAGAATTCTCATACAAGACAAGAAAAAGTACAATGGAATTATATACCTTTCCAGATATCAGCATCGTCACCTTTTCTCCGATAAACAGGAGTAGCAGACCACACAAAGAAACCACCAGGTCGTAGCAAACGGTTGAGCTCTAAAAGGAGTTTACCGTCTGTACATTGCTAAGACCAGCAAATATTCAAGCACAGCCAAAATTCATAAAATGCATTGCAATAATTGATTAAAGACTTGAAGACAGCCCGTGATTAAAATTTATGGAGGAGGTTGTAATATACCTTCAATGTGCCATGGCACTCTACATCGTGCACAGTGAATAATATCAAATGCACTGCTAGGGTAGGGAAGTCTCTTAGTACCCATCACAGCAGACACAGCAGGAATTCCCCTTTCAAGTGCAAATTGTACTTGAGCTTCATGTTCATCTTTTGGTGCTAACGACATAGTGATCACATTTCTTTCAAAAAGATAACCTCCAAAGCTGGCAACCCCACATCCAACATCCAACAGCACACGAGAGCGTTTTCCCCATGCTATATCAGGCACAGACTGCAGATTTAATCAAACATCAGAATCCAAGGTGACGGAAAATGCAGGAGAGGAAAATATTGAAAAATGAATAAAATTCATTTACTGTTTCTTATTGTCATCATTATTAGAATGCAACAGGTAACTCTACGGGTGGTAAACAAGCATTCTTTTTAAAACAATCACGTATTTGTAGAAAGATGCATGCAATCAAAATTGCAGATATAGAACGCCCCGCAAGAAATGAAACAGATATATCATATGTGCACATAACCATACACTCAAACATATATCAACCAATGTCCATAATTCAGATAATATAAGCTTCTTGACGCTCCTTACAGGTATGACTGTCAACCACAAAAGCGATTAATGAACATGCCAGTGCCTACTCCCTTACATGATCAAACAAAAACAAAGATTGAATGAATCACTTGCTTCTCATTGGAAGAAATGCCCCAACAAAAGCAAGGAATTTCAGGTTAAGGAAATGCTTCTAATATAAACTCCTGACCTCTTTCACGGGCTGAAAATTTTAAGGTTTAAGATAACAATGCGAACGAAAATCTGCTTGAAAGTACTCATTATGTTTGCCTTTGTTAGCTGTCCATAAGGTTTTTAAGTTGAAATACACTAAATTGTTTTTTTTTTTACTGGACATAGGCTTTTTCTACAACTTACAATTAAAGGAAACATTAACTTATAAGAAAAATGTACTCATTCAATATATAATATGGTTATAACACAAATTTTATGCCAATTCATTGTAGGAAAAGATTGACACGGATGATATATTGTATCGTGGAATTAAGATTACTATCAAAACAATCACAATCAGCTTATAATGGAAATGAAGGGAACTGATAATAATAGCTATTGTGCTCTGAATAATAGCTATTGTGCTCTGGATAAGGTACTGATAATAATAACTTCAGATCAAAAGACATTCATGCCACAGCTTTTATCTCGTGTTAAAGTATTACCACTGTAATAATAGACAACAAACAGATCTAAGACAAAAATGAATATTCAACAAGTAGAGACCATACCCTGGGGAGTGAGACGCAGTATTCAATGATATGATACAATATAGAAGTTCAAAAACAATACATTCAATTTGAGAACTCACCTTTTGTATGAAGTCAATATAATGAAGTGCACCTCTCCTAAACTGGGTTCCACCACCAGGAAATGTTAAGTAATTCCCGGAAATTTCCACCCAATTCTGACCTCCTTTAAATTTTACTAGTTGGGAATGGGGAACATTTCTGTACCAAATCTGCAGCAGGACGAAAGCTTTTGTTAATACATCTGATCACGAACGAAATCAAGCTAAAAAGTTAAACCAACACATGTTGGGTTCAATTACCTTGTCCCTACTTTTTGGCCACGGAATTGGGTATTTGTATCCTTCAGGAAGAGGAACAAGGCAGGTTGGTGATACTTCTGGACAGTGCCTCTCTCGATGTTCATAATGTTTGGTACTATGGAGATTCCTGATGGCCTCACAATTGTCTAGGCATGGGATAAAATCAGGGCCAGCAGTGGTATTGCAAAGATTCCAACTGTATTCCTTTGATGATGTGTTTGACGACTGAGCATCTTTTTCATTTTTTGATTCTACCGCCTGCGTAGAGAAGGGTCCATTCTGAATCTTTGTTTCCTTCAAAAGCTCAGACTTAGCACCAGATGGGGAAACTTCATTTGAGTTCGTCTTTTTTACTTGGCCATCAGAGCTATCAGACTGAGCACCAGATGGATAAACTTCATTTGCGCTCTTCTTTTCAACTTGAGCATCAGAGCTTTCAGACTGAGCACCAGAGAAAACTTCGTTTGAGCTCTTCTCTTTCACTTGACAGTCGGAGCTTTCAGACTGAGCACCAGATGGGAAAACTTCTTTTTTGTTCTTCTCTTTCACTTGACCGTCAGAACTTTCAGACTGAGCGCCAGATGGAAAAACTTCATCTGAACTCTTCTTTTTCACCTGACCATCAGAGCTTTTATCCAACACCTTGTCGACATTTTTATCTATCTTATCCCCTTTAGTCCAAGAAGAGCTTTCATTGCGTTTCTTTTCAGGATCATTAGAATAGGATTTCTTGTCATTCTCATTAGAATAAGGTTTACCATTGCTGTTTTCAGATCCTTGTCCACCCGGATTCTCACTGCTTCCATTGTTTTTCACTCCACCTTCAGGATTGGATTGCTCATTATCCTTCTTAGAATTCTCAGACATAGTATTAGATTGCTCATTATCCTTCTTATACTTCTCCAACTTACTCTCTTCAGTGTTCTCATTAATTTCTTTTGCATTGAAGTTGCTTTTGCCCTCATCTTTAGCTAGACTCACATTTGAATCCCCTGGCGAGGCATCCTTTCCTAGATCATCGGGCTTATCTTCAAACCGTGGCTTGTTGCCGCTGTTTTTGCCATCCATGATTACTGGCTGAATCTGATCCTCGACCTGATTTTTCTTTTCTTCAGCCGTATCATCCCCGTTCTGAACCGGGACAACCCAGGACGAAGTTATCATCCAAATCCCAACTAAACATAATCCCATGAAAATCACAATGGTGACGGTGGAACAATAACTCGAAGACGAGGAACTCTCATTATTATCCACTCTACTGTATTTTCCTAAAGCCATGATCACTATTTCCTTCCTTTTCCAATCAATTCCTCAAAAATACACACCTGAACATTTTATGAAATCAAACTTCAGAAGAAAGCTAATTAAAGAAAATGCAGCATATATAAAGAATATATCCGTAAAATTAAAGCTTGCAAGTTTTACTCAGTTCCACTAAGAAAAAATAAAACTAAATTAATTTTACACACACACAATTCTTCATCAAGATCCATAGAAACAATCTATGCCTTGGAAAGAAAGAAACATAGAATCGCATCCACTTTCTCAGGTTGAGTGATCTAGGACTAAAACCGAAAACCGCTATCACATTTCAAAATATTAGTTTTACATCAATATTAAAAGAAATTATAAAGAATTTGAGCAAAATGCACCATATACAAAAACCATGTTCAAATTTAGCTCAATGCAGATCAAACAGATAAAGCCAATTCAAGTTTAAGACTCCTATCTCATTAGATCTGCAACAAACAAAGAAATCCAAATCGGAGAACAAAAGAAATATACCTGAAAACACAAATATGGAAAGATCTGAAACAGAGAAGAGAGCTTTAACAACCGTTATTGATTCGTTTCTGCGTTAAGCAAAGGCAGAATGATATTGATTTTTTTATACAAGTATATATATACATATAACAATGAATTCCAGCTTTTAGCTACCGCTGGAATTAAAAGTATTTCTTTAGGGTTTTTTTAATTATTAGTGTGTAATTTAGAGATTATGTGAGAATCAAAAACAAAATATAGATAAAAAGGGGAAGAGAGGGTTCGTGAACGAGAGAACACCAAGAGAAAGAGTCGGCCACGGGAAATGGAAAAGCCCGCGAAAACAATGGATTAAAGCTCCATTTGTTTCCGAAAAAACATAAATCTTAAAAATAACGGTAATTAGTCACTCAATTATTAGATTAATTTTGTTTTGGTCAGCACACTTAAAAAACTTTCAATTTGACCAATAATATTATTAAAGTATTATTTGTACAAAGAATTTAACTATTCGACAATGAACACTTATATATAGGGATGACAATTTAACCCAAAACCGATGAGTTTTGACCCAACCCAATAGGGTCATTTTTTTAAAAAAAAAAGGTTCTGGTCAGGTCGGATGAAGGGTGAAAAAACTTCAACCTGGTCTAACCCGAGGATAATAATGTAATTTGCTTAAAAATTATTATTTTTATAATTAAGTAATTATTTTATATCGGGTCGGGTCGAGTCAAATTTATACTCTAAATATTTAGGTCGCGTCGAGTCAAATTTATACTCTAAATATTTAGGTCGCATCGAAGCCTAGTGGAGGATATATATTTTTCAGGTCGAGTCGGATCGGGTGGAGGATATAAGGGTCAGGTCGGGTTCGAGAAAAGGATACATATTTTTTTTGTTGAGTTTGGTTGACTAAAGACCCAACCCGACCCATTGTCATCCTTACTTTTATCCTCTTGCATACATGATACTCAAACTCGTGACCTTAATGGATAACAACAATCTCATAACTATTAAGATCACTTGATTCGTGTTTGATGTATTAAACTTTTTTTTAATAGTTGATGTGTTAAACTTAATTTAACTGACATGTATTTTCTTTAAAATAATTTGAGGTGATACGAATAAATATGATTATATCGATAAACGAATCATAAAAGAGAATTAAGCTGTTGAAAGACCACTGAGAACTGCAAATCAGAGCCGAGCGTCGTGAGTAACTATCCACGAACGTAAAATCTTGCATCCAAATTTAATTCGAATGTCCATGTTAGGAATTGAGGCTCTATGAATTAATCGAAAAAGTGGTCAAGAGGGGTGAATTGACCTTTTGAAAATTTGGGAAGTAAGGAGAGAGGATAGGAAAAATTCGCATAAAGACTTACAGTGGTTCAACTTCTTCAATGAGTCTACATCCACTAACTTAACTCATTACTAAGGATTTCTAATGAATTCACTCATTTGTTCTTTCTTTTTCTAGGCTCAAGAGTAACATTTAGAAATTTCATATCTTTTCAATGTCTAAAATAGAACCACAACCCTTGTAACACCCCATATCTGATCACAGAAAAATAACCCGGATACCTGAGCGTACATTAGAATATGATCTTGTCGAACAGAACAAAAACCTTAATCATGCATACTAAGCAGAAGAAATTAAAATAAAACATTCATCATGCAATACACAATAAAATATATATAACTTAATCACGCTTACAACATTCGTACAATCATACATTACAAGATAAATGATATTAACTATATAGGGGTAAAATAGTCATTTAATATGTAACTATTAAATTCATAGATAAAGTGGAATTTAAACTTAAAAATATGAATTATTAGCCCTTAACTAGTTACATGTAAAATTTCAGCTAAATCGAACATCGTTTAGGGACCTAACTGAATATGCTCAATTTAGGGACTAAAATATAAACTTTTCAAAATATGAAATTGAAGTTTTCATTATGAAATTATTATCATTATAGAGTCATAGAACAAATCTAACAAAATCCAAGTTAAAATCACGCTTTAATTGTAAAATCATGTTTATGGACCAAATTGAATATATTTTAAAGTTCATGGACAATCCAAGGACTTAGGGAACACTTTAAGTCTTTAATAAATTCAATTTTATCAATTTTCATCTAGCAAACAATGAAGGGATCGATCTCTTTTCACGGGGATCGATCATTTGCAAAACATTAGGTTTAGGATCAATCCTTTTACGAGAGGGATCGATCCTTTGCCTAAAGGGATCGATCCTTTTAAGAAAGGTCTCAATATATTTTTCTAGAAAATGCAGAAATGCATACTAATATTCATGAACATGTTTGGAGACCCTTAAATCACTTAGAACATGTCATAATACATATGTAACATACTTCAAAACATTATTTAACATAAAATACAAGTATTTAACATCTAAAGTTAAATTTTGCATATAAAATCAACTTAAACACGAGTTACCTAACCATTTTGTGCATTATTAGTCGTTTCATGCATCCTAAGGGCCTAACATGTTATGTTCACTTAATGTCACTTGTCTAAATGGACAAATAACTTATTTAAGGCATATAACAACATTTGGTCACTCAAGGAATACTTGAGCATATTGTATAACATGTATTTCAACATCAATAATCATCATTTCACTACTTACTCAAGAATCGAAGTACAACATAGATCATTATAGGTCACTTATGCATTAGTAAGTGTCACAAGAACAAATCAACTTAAAGTTCAATTGAGGATTCTATATTGCCTCAAAATAAAACCAAGATTCAAAATAACTTTACAAAAGCTTCATTGCTTTGATCACCACCAAGTGTTTTGCCCCTCAAGCTCTCGAATCGACAAGTATATATTTGAAAAATACTAAACAACGAGTGTGAGATATAAAGCTTAGTGAATGACTAAGCATTCAAATATGATGTACATGCCAAGGCTAAAGAAAAACCCTATATGCATTCACTCTTCACTTGTTTTTTACCTCAATAATCATGCCATCATGTCATGTTTTTATAATCATCTAATGCATTGTAGATGTTCACAAAATCCAGAATATACACATGCTTCCTATCGTAATATAATTGGCAGCAAAGCACATGCACACATGCATAATTATCATTTTGGCAAATTCACACACATCACACATATTTCCCAATTAAGATCAATGGTCTTTTGTTCATAACACAACTCACTCATTAGATAAATGGACTCCATACAACTCCCATTTATGCTGATGTTTTACTTGAAAAGGGAGAGATTAAAGCAGGGGAAATTTGGGATATATACAATAGAGCACCTCGAATATCTCAGGTAGATTTTGATCCAAGGAATGAAATGTTTAGGGAAAACGAAAATGCATGGACTGAAGTTTTGGTTTTATATGATTCTTGTGATTTACTATTCAAGCATTACAATGGTAGAATGTTATATTGTTGTGATTTACTGTTCAAGTATTTTCTTGCATCGTTTTTGGTGATTGCATGATTGATGCTTTTGCCCATTGTCCAGCCTACTGTCACTCCAGTTGACGAATATGGAGCCCTGATTTATGACGGGCGATCCATTGGGTCACACTTCCAGGGAGGGTTACGTTTGCACCTGGAAATTCTGGATTTTCAACTTTCGGTGCACCACGTCCTATGGTGGCAAGTTGGACAGATTTTCATTTTAATTGGTTATATAGTTCATTTCTGAGCTCTGGCAACAATGCCGATTTGGTTCTAAACTTCATTTTATCTGTACAGACTAAAACCGTCAGTGATGAAACCTGGAAGCTAATAGATAATATTTGGGACAAGAGGGTTGAAGAAATAAAAGCTGAAGCTTCGATGCAGATTGAACAAGAGAAGGAGAAGTCACAACTTTTGATGGCCAGTCATTTCCTTTGAAATCATGGTAATGTTTTTCTTCTTAATTGTGAGCAAAATTTCAGTTTGAGGTTCGAGATGCTCCTTTTCATCTCCCTGGCCAATTTCTTTTGCAACATAAATGATGATAGTCTGTGTTGTAAAGCATAATACATTGAATTTAACTGTATTTTTTGTTTTAGAGGGTTCGGAACAGTTCTGCTAAACGAATACAAGAGGCTTTATCTTTCGGGCTTACATAATCTGCTAGAGTTTAACATTTCCGCATGATCTATGCCCGATGATGGCAACGTTTACATCACTGCCAACTCCTCCGGTTATGTACTGATAATCAATGGAGCTATTTTCTGCGAGTGTTGTTTTTTGGGCTCAGGTGTTTCAATACTTTTATTAGAGGACAGACATACGACACACCATTGAATGTAAAGCAGACCAGACCTTTCAAGGCCATCCTAAATAGAATCATTACTGCTACCTGTGGAATTCTAATGAATACTGTGAATGATCCAAAATGGTTTTGTTATTGTAGTCGATTGTAGTAAATTTATGTGATGAATATCGATGCCCTAAACCGTTTCTCTGGTGCTATGTTTATACAAATACCTTTCTGGTAGCTTCTGTAATGGCAAACTACCGAGTCTGGTCAATACCGAGCAAGCATTGACCATAAGGTCCAGCGCAAGCACACCCACCTCGAGCTTGGATTTCGGAAATGTCGTTTAGGGGAGTTGCAACAAAGGGACCATGTAGAGTCTTATCCCTCGTGAACCCAGTCTCGCCCCACATGAAAAGGCAATATCCCTTTCCATCTGGCTCATCGACACGGCTGACTTCTTTGTTGTTGATGGGGGAAGATTTGGTTGAGTAAATGAGGAAAGATGATCTGCATCGTCTCTTGGCGTCGGTGCTTTTATTCCCTAAAACCCATTTGTGTAGATCTAAATCAACAGGGTCAGTCTAAACTATGAATTTATTTTTAGACCCAAAATGCAACAAAAAAAAGTTTGAATGGTTACACTGCCAAATCATTCTTATGTGATCTAGTGGATGGTCAATTTTCTATATTCATCTATATTTAATTTATTGATCAATTAATTCAAATAAGATTCATCTATATTGGTCAATAGGATGTCTTTTAGGTTTAAAGCTAAAATATAGGATTGAAACAGATTGTTGTGTGCATGAACCAAGAGTGAAAAAGGTTTGGTTAAACTGCGTATTTAGTACATAAACTATCAATTTTGGATTATTTTAATACTTAAACTTTCATTTTTCAAAATCATGCCTAAAGTTTATTTTTAATTTCATTTTAGTACCCGTTCAAAATTTAACGTTAAATTTTGAAACAAATTGAAAGTTTTGATATTAAAACATACCAAAACTGATAATTTAAATATTAAACACGTTATGTTCTTAATAGCGGAGTACTCAAATGAAACAAAAACTAAACATTATGTATTGTTTTGAAAAAATTTAAAATTTAAATATTAAAACCGATCAAAACTGATAGTTTAAATACTCACTGTGTAGTTTACCCAAAAGGTTTTTGTGTTTTATGCCTTGATTTGTGGGATATAATAATATAAAAATAGACCACTCTAAATAGAACAACATAACTAAGGAGAAAAGGAGTAACACATTTGGTCTGAGATTTACCAGTACAACAGCAACTTCAATGTTGTTTGTACTTGTCATCTAATGATTCTGTCCAAATCTAACAAAGGAATCATCAATTTCCCAACTGACATGTAAGCATCCATTCAAAACATTATATGAGGTTCATATGTCAATTACAGAGAACCGAACATTGCATGCCGAAACTCAAAATTCCATTACACAAAAGCATGAGAACATAAGATGATAAATCAAACAGACACAAGGATCTCAAATGCTAGTGTTACAAACTTTTATCTCAAACCAAACTCCTGCTAAGAAAACTGGTAAACCAAATAGTAGCATTTATTCCTAAAAATGAAAAAAAAAAAAAGGTGCAGACCTATCAAATTCGACAATTGAAAGAGTGTGTGTTTTATGAAATCTTTATTCAAAGGCACCAATTATTTGAATTGTCGACATCAGTGAAAGCTTCCAGCATGGATAGAACATCATCTTCCTCACAAACTTGGGGTGCCTCGGTAAATGAATCAGTAACATTCCAAATCATTTGACAATCATCTTCAGTAAAGTGATCCAGCATAGATACAATGTTGTTATCGTTGGGCTCTTGATCTTTAGGAACCAGGGCGAGTTGAGGAGCCTCCAACAGTGCAGGAACAGAGTCAGCAGCAGCAACAGTGGGAGCTTCAGTATTAACCACACATGTAGGGGAAGTATAAGCATCAGCATCAGTGACGGTGGTACAATTTACTTCGTCATTAGTATGACCAACCAATGGCTGTGGGTGAACCCCACTTGTGAACCCCACGCATGTAGGGGAACTATATACATCAGCATCAGTGACAGCGGTACAATTTACTTCATCATTAGCATGACCAAACGATGGCTGTGGGTGAACCCAATTTGAATCAACAGTTGTTCCAACACACAGGCTCTCAGGGAAGAACGAGGCACTACCAACAGCTACTGTAGACGTGCCGCAAAGGGAACTTGTATCAGGCAAATTTGTCTCATCATCGTCATCACTCCACTCCTCTTCCTTAAATGGTGCTCCATATTGAGCACCATTTTTTGGGCCCATACCATCCTTCTTGAATACAACGTAAAGCATGTAGGAATCTTGAACTACCCCTCTGTCAGCCAGATTTTTATCTTCAAGTCTGTATTCGTGCATCACCCAATCCGTTCGGTCACCACGTGGAGCTTTACCTTGGTGAAAAACCAAGGTTTTTATCATCCCTACAACTTCGTCATTGTACTTTACAGCCCTATCCTTTCCTGTAGCTTTCCAATAGCCATACGCAGAAGCTCGATTCACCCTATCTCCTCTACTGTATTTCTTTGCCATCGGACAATAAAAGTGCCACTTAAGGTCCCCGGTCTTCAAACACGATTTATCAGGCAAGTCCCATGGTGCATACTTGTAAATCTCGACTTCAGCAATTGGATTGACAGAAAGCTTCTTGCACAATATTTTCCGCTTCAGATAATACATAATCAGCTCCACATCAGTGGGGTGGAATCGAAATCCCGGTGCCCATGAGTTTTTACCCATCATAAAAGTACAAAGTAATCACTAGAAACTGAATTAGGAAAAACTGCAACTCCCTTTAGAATAAATTAGCGGGTCCGAATTGAAGAATTAAAACGGATAAACGGGTCAAATCAAACCTGACGCGTAGAATATAGGCCAGGTCCAATGCCTAAAAGAAATCTTTTGAGAAAAATACCTCAGTCTCCCACAGTTCATAAACCGAAAATCAGAATAAAGAATCGGCTGTTCCCAACTGAGCTCAAAAGACATTTGCTGTAAAATACGAACCCTGTTTTCAATATAAAGACCCCCATATCAATTGAAATTTCATCAAAAAAAAAATCATCGATCAGTTTATTCAAATCAAGGAAACCCAAAATACGAACCGTGCTTTCAATATTAAATAGTTCATAAAAAAAAACTATCACAAGACCATCAATCAGATCATTCAAATCAAGGAAACCCTAAGCCCAAAAATCAAGGAAGACGTAACATGTCAGAGAAAAGACCTCCAATCGAAGATTATTTGTGGCGAACAATAAATAGAATTTGAAATTGAGATATGTAACCCTAGAATTTTACCCGTGGGGAAGGAAGCCGCGAGAGATAGCACCTAGGGAGGCCGAGTCCTGGAGCAGAGTTGAGATAACTAAGAGAAGCGAAGAGTAAAGAGTACGCTAAAGGACGCTTAGCCCTACTTTTATAGGCGTTTTTATCAACAACAAAAAATCACCTAAACCATTAATAATTATGTCATTCTTGATAAAATTTCATCGATTTAACACTTATTTATTGGCATGGACATAAGGTGCGGATCAAACATCTGTATTTTTTTAGATTTTCTTTTGAATTAATGTCACGCAAGCAAAGTACGGATTATTATTCGCGCGTTCTATTATTGAAGATGAATTATTATGTACTTCATTATTATCTGAGCCTTAAAACTCGACGACTCACCCCTCCCTTAAAAATACTCTAGAATGTAAACATCAAATCGTAACAAAATTACTTTTACATTCTTTCTTCTAATATAAAATTATTTATTAATATATTATATTTATTCTATATTTAATTTTTTAACCAAAATTTTTTATACTAATGATTTTATTTTATTTTGTACTTATATAAAATGGAAGGCACGATTAAATTTCGATACATTTTTTTGAGACGATAATAATATTAAATTGTGTTATTAAATTTACTATGAATTTTTTTAAAATGTTTTAGCATTAGTTTACTTTTAAGTCCATATATTATTTATTTAATTAGGCATAATTAATATATTATTTTTATAAATATAAGACTCTCAATCTTTAAACTTTCAAACTCTAAAAATGAGGCATATTTCAGTTAATGTTTACTGTGATTGAGAAATTAGGGAATATGAAACAGGCGGTGTCTTCATATCAAATCAGTGTCAGAATATCCTTCAAGAGAAACATCACTCTTGAGGAGTTTACCACTAAAATTTCAAGGTGGCTCCACGAACAATCCATATGACAACATCGCTTCGAGTTCAAGGGGAAGACATTCATCTGCAAATTTCTTTTACTTGAATATGGGGATGTCATCGACACAACAATCTGTTCAGTACCCATTTGACACAATGTCTTCAAATTCCAATGGGAGTTGTTGAACTATGTTTTGATATAACAATTTAAGGCAAAATGGTTTTTGGACTTGAATTGAATTTACAAAATGTTTTTGGACTTAATTGAATTTATTCAAAGTTTTAAAAGGTTTCAAAAATAATTCAAAGTCCATTAAATTCGGATTTGACCCAAAATGCTCAAGGGTGTCAAAGTGCATCCATGCACCCCCTGCAGTGCATCCATGCATCCCTGCAGTGCATCTATGCACCTACACTAGTGCATCGATGCATCATGCAGTGCATCCATGCACTCAAATACCGAATGCAATTAGTGCATCGATGTATCCTGTTGTGCATCCATGCACGAAGGCTGCAACGGCTAATAACAGCTAGTTTATTTGAATTTAATGAAGGGGTATCGATGCACCATGTTATGGGCAGCCTTTTTTGAGTAGAAAAATCATCCCCAAACGGCTCCAAAACATCCCCAACGACTATATACAACATTAAACACATTCCAAGCTATAAATACAAGCTAAAGACATTTGAAGAATAGATAGAACAACTATCCAAGTAATCAAACACAAGAGAAGAGTTTTTCATTCTTATTTCATCTTTCTCTTGTAAATATTTTGTTCTTGTGAGCTCAATCTTGTAAACACCTACCTTAGAGAGGTTTTATTGTTTACTTATTTTATCCTTTTTGTAAATGGGAAAGGTTCTAGCTTATCCTGTGTAAAAACTAGGGAAAGGTTCTAGTTTAGCCCGGAAAAACTAGGGAGTTGTAAGGTTATCTCTTTGTCCTCAAAAGAAAAAACAAATTAGTGAATTTGTTGAAAAATCCTTGGTTATGAGCTAAGGTAGTGGACGTAGACTTTGGTTTAGAAAGTCGAACCACTCTAAATCGCTGTGCAATTTTCTATCTTTCAATCTCCTTACTCCCTAAACTCAAAAACCGTTCCGACCCCTCTTTACAAACCGTTCTAGTTATCGAATCGAGCTTCCGAAAATCCCAACAATTGGCATCAGAGCCTAACTCGTTAAGAAGGTTTAACCACCTTGAGACGATCCTCGAAGAAGCTCTACCAATTTCTGAAGCAACCGACAAAGAAATGACTTTTTCCTCCGGTGCTTATTATCTTGAAGAATATCCCATTATGGATTCACAACTGGTCAACAAGCCACCCTTCTTCAATGGAGCAAATTATGCACATTGGAAGAATAAGATGATGTACTTTATTCAATCCTACAATCTAGGAGATTGGAACTCAATCATGGACGGTTACTCCTCCTCACCCAGCAAGTACAATGATTAGAGTGAGAGATTTGGGATAAACACCAAGTCACTCATGAAGGAACCGACGAAGTGAGGGAATCAAAGAAAAGCCTTCTCAACCATAGTTACGAGAACTTCAAGATGAAACCCGATGAATACATCAAAGCTATGACGGATAGATTTTCTGTGATTGTCAACGGTCTCAAGGGATATAGAGAAGTAATCCCTAATGAGAAGCTTGTGAGAAAGATGATCTACTCTCTTCCAAAGGAGTGGCAATCGAAGAAGACGACCATTATCGAAGCAAGAAACTTAAAGTCTCTCACTCTCGATGAGCTAATTGGTTCCCTTCTCACTCATGAGATGATGGTGAAGGAAGATGAAGAAAGGGAAGAGAAGAAAAACAAGAAGAAGAAAGAGGTAGGTATTGCCTTTAAATCCACCAATGAAATTTATCAAGATTCAAGTGATGAGGTGGATAAAGACGATGATGAACAAGAAGAAGAGATGGTCAAGCTCTTCAAGGAACTCAAGAGATTCATGATTTCCAAGGAAGTGAAACATGAATCAACCAAGAATAAGAGTCCCCCGATATGTTTCAATTGACAAAGAAAGGGGCATGCCAAGTATGAATGTTATCTTCTAAAGAAAAATGGGAAGAAGACATTTGTTGCATCTTGGAGTGATAAAGATGATTCCAATGATGAAGATGATTCCAATGATGAAGATGAAGTAGTCAACCTATGCCTCATGACCACTCAAGAAGAATTCGAGGTATCTTCTAACTCAAATGAATTTAATTCATTTACTTTTGATGAGTTACAAGATGCTTATAATAGGTTGTATTTGGGATTTGAGATCATGAATTCCAAATATACGAAATTAATTTCAAAACTCAAAATTAAAGATAATTTGATTTTGAAAGCAAAAGTTGATTTTGAAAATCAAAATGAAATTTTTAAAAATAATTTAGAGCTTTCAAAAATCAAAATAAATGATTTACAAAAGACAAATTTTGAGTTAGGAGTTAAGCTTAAAAGCTTAACAAAAGAAAAAGAATTAATTTCTAAAAACAACCTATTATCTTTATAAATGACAAAATGCTCACATTGTCATTTTCATGGTCATAAGGAACATACTTGTCCTTTGAAGAAATGAAATCGTTTTAAAATTAGACAAGTATGGATTCCAAAAGGAACAAGGGGCATTGAACCTAATGTCCAAGGATCCAAATCAATTTGGATACCAAAATCAAAATAAATGTCTCTTATAGGTGTGTGGGAGCAATGGTGATGAAAGTGATGATATTCAAGATGCTCTAGCCACACATGAAAAAGGAATGGGTAACCTCTAAGCTTAATGTTTTTTATTTTGGTTATTTGGTTGCTCATTTGATTTTAAGCATGCATGAGTTTTGGTTTTAAATGATTATGCATCATCGTTTTAATCTCATGTATGTTGAAAATATGATTATGATGAACATTTTAAAGTTATATTAATTTTTAAGATTTTTTAGTTCATCATAATAAGATTTTGGTCAAAATTGTTTTAATGCAAATGATATCTCTCTAACAATTGATATCAAATTTTCAAATACTTTGATTTTACAAATTTTAAAATTTTGACCTAAATTTGAATGTTTATGCATGTGGTTTAAATGAAAATAATATCTCTCTAACAATTGATATCAAAATTTTCAAAATGCATAATATTTTTGAAAAACTTTATGCATATGCACTTAATTTTAACAAATGGTATTGATATCAAATTTCAACAATTGGTATTGCATAAAGTATTTTAGTCTTGGATATATTGAATTTCATGTGCTACTAACACATTTGTTATTCTTTGTAGAAATTTAATTTCTTTTTAAGTGTCAAGTTCTTAAAGCTAAATTTTGATTGGAATGCATTTATTTAGGGGGAGCTTTGATTTTTCATATGATTTTTAAATGTCAAATTTACCACTTACTTTCCAAAGTTATTTTGAACTTCAAAGATCGAATTATTTTTAATATAACAAAAAGGGGGAGAAGTTTGGTTTGAAAAAATCAATTTCTAAATGAAAAAGGGGGAGTTTCGCCAAAAACAAATTTTCAAATGTTTTGTTATATCAAAAGGGGGAGATTGTTGAACTATGTTTTGATATAACAATTTAAGGCAAAATGGTTTTTGGACTTAATTGAATTTATTCAAAGTTTTAAAAGGTTTCAAAAATAATTCAAAGTCCATTAAATTCGGATTTGAGCCAAAATGCTAAAGGGTGTCAAAGTGTATCCATGCACCCCCTGCAGTGCATCCATGCATCCCTACAGTGCATCTATGCACCTGCACTAGTGCATCGATGCATCATGCAGTGCATCCATGCACTCAAATACCGAATGCAATTAGTGCATCGATGCATCCTTCTGTGCATCGATGCATCAAGGTTGTGCATCGATGCATCCTGCTGTGCATCCATCCACGAAGACTGCAACGGCTAGTAACAACTAGTTTATTTGAATTTAATAAAGGGGTATCGATGCACCATGTTATGGGCAGCCTTTTTGAGTAGAAAAATCATCCCCAAACATCTCCAAAACATCCCCAACGACTATATACAACATCAAACACATTCCAAGCTATAAATACAAGATAAGGACACTTGAAGAATAGAGAGAAAAACTATCCATGCAATTAAACACAAGAGAAGAGTTTTTCATTCTTATTTCATCTTTCTCTTGTAAATATTTTGTTCTTGTGAGCTCAATCTTGTAAACACCTACCTTAGAGAAGTTTTCTTGTTTACTTATTTTATCCTTTTGTAAAGGGGAAAGGTTCTAGCTTATCCCGTGTAAAAGCTAGGGAAATGTTCTAGTTTAGCCCAGAAAAACTAGGGAATTGTAAGGTTATCTCTTTGTCCTCAAAAGAAAGAACAAATTAGTGAATTTGTTGAAAAATCCTTGGTGAGGAGCTAAGGTAATGGACGTAGACTTTGGTTTAGAAAGTCAGACCACTCTAAATCGCTGTGCAATTTTCTATCTTTCAATCTTCTTACTCCCTAAACTCAAAAACCGTTCCGACCCCTCTTTACAAACCGTTCTGGTTGTCGAATCGAGCTTTCAAAAATCCCAACAAGAGGCATTCAACTGCGAGATTCTTCTACCTTAATGTTGAGATGCCTACGACATAACACTTAGTCCAAAACTCGTATGATACGATGCATTCAAGTTCAAGGGGAAGACATTCAACTATCAGCTTGTTCGACCTAAATATCGGCATCGCAGAGAAACTCTTATCTCCACCAGAAGAACCTTTTCATGAGCCAGGTGTATATGGTGCTGAGACTGGACAACTCGTTGAGCCAGATTCACCGTAGTTTAACATGAACTCCGATGATGATGATGTAGATGAAGTTCCCACAACTACGATACACACCGAACCTCCAGCACACATGAATGAAGCTAACTATTATGCAATGCATGGGCCAAAATTTATAAATATGTCTAATGTTGATGACTATAAATTTAACTTATCAGTCAATGATGGTGAGTTATATTTTAGAATGGAGTTTTTATCGAAAGAAGAAGTGATTATTGCTATTAAGAATTACAACATTCGTAATTCTATTCACTTTAAAGTGGACCGATCAACCACCAAAAAGTATATTTGCTACTATTTCCAACATGATAACAGATGAAACTAAATGGTTCGTGTATCGAAGAGGAAGAGGAAAAATAACATATGGGGACTAACAATATACAAAGGTCCTCACACATGTTGTGCTAGAGGGATCAACCAGGACCATTCCAACTTGGGCTCTGACATTATCTGCCAAGCCATCATGCCCATGGTCAAAGTAAGCTCTCATATAACTATTATTGTGTTGATTTCAACTATACAGTCTCAATATGAGTACACTGTCTCCTACGGGAAAGAATGGAAGACAAAGCAGAATGTCATTAAAAACAGCACGGTGAGTGGGATTCATCCTACAACGAACTACCAAGTTGGTTTAGCATAGTATGCAGATTGAATATTAAGACAATAGTGGACTTCGAAACTTGTCATGTGTACAACAATGATCGAGTGCTTCGATATCGATGCCAATTCTACTAGTTGCTTTAGACTTACCCACAGTGCATTAATGTTGTGAAATTCTACAAGCCTGTGGTCCAAATTGATGAGACATTCTTGTATGAAAAAAACAAACAAGTTCTACTATTGACAGTTGTTAAAGATGATAATCGTAATATCCTTCCAATTGTTTTTGCCCTTGTTGAAGGAGAAGATACAAATTCTTGGGTTTTTTCTCAAAAATTTATGCTTACATGTTGTCACGAAGGGAAAAAATATGTCATTTCAATTCACGGAGTTGTGATCAAAACAACAATGGACTCTTTGGGTTTAATGTGACAATCGTCCTATGTCCAACATCGATACTGTGCCCGATATATTGCTGAGAACTATTGTGGAACATTAGAGAGCTTGCCTTGTTGGAGGGAAAGAAGTAGAGTGGATCAAGTTGCAGAAGCTAGCGAGAGTGGATGAAGATCCTAGCGTGGAACATTCGAGGTTGTGGGAGCGAGGTAAAAATGTCAGCGACGAGAAAGCTAGTAAGAGAGCAGTAGGTTGATTTGTTACTCCTACAGGGAAGTAAGAATTAGAAGTTGGTGGATAGGATTTCCAGAAATTATGGCTTGACGATAATTTTTGGGTTTCTAAGCTGTGTGCTTCTAAGTTTCGAATGGTCAAAACTCCTCAAAGCTAGATGGATTTATTGGTGTTTTATTGTTTGGTTTCTAGCCATAATGGTTGGTGATTGTTGCATTTTCTGCAAGAGTTTTTTAATACTGGTATGTGGCTTGCTTTACTAGATCTATAGAGGTGCTATATAGTGGCCTAAGGAGCTCAATTTATTGCTTGTTTTCATGATGGTTTTATCTGTACTGGTCTTATTCTAGCTAGTGTTGGTGAAATTCCATGGAATTCTCATTTTTGTCGAGGTGTTCGATGTTGATAGAGAAGGATTGGCGTTCTGGATGGATATACAGTATCTTGGAGTGGCTTTGGTGTTTAACTTGGTTTTGTTTTGTGCTGTTTTTTTTCTTTGTCTATTAAGTAGGTGGTCTATTATTAGATTATCATTTTGTTGTAAAATATGTTTAATTACGTGTGTTCTCTGGAAGTTTTGTTAGGAGACGTCTCCCTTCTGTTGGTTGTTGGGCTTTTCAGTTTGCATGTGTGTTGTATTTTCGTGTGGCGTAGTCTCTTTTATTGGTAGCAGGTAGTTTGCTTTAATAGTATGCCGGGAAGAGTGTATTCTCATATGTTTTCGTTGCTCTTTGGAGGGTACCTCTTTGTTTCTGTTTTATCGATTCTTGTTGTGGACGATGCGTTGCATCGGAGCGGGGTTAACTGTATACTGAGGGTTGATTGTGTTTGCAGTTAGGCCATGGATTGATGGTTCTTCATTGAGTTGTTACGGACATACTTCTAAGTGTTACGGAAGACGGCTATCGGATAGAGTAAAATCGCAACTGATAATTTGAGAAAATAAAAATGAAGATAAAGAAGACACAATATTTAAGTGGAAAACCCCTAAATAATATAGGGTAAAAACCACGGGCAACGATAGAAGAATTTCACTATGAGAAAATAGGAATTACAACCTCTCTCGATCTACCAAGGAGAAAACAATGATAATTCTCTCTTGATAAAAATGAGAAAACAACTCTCAAGAAACTCTCTAAATTCTCTAGTATTGGAAGAAAGCCATAATGCTTTGGGATGGTTTTAAAGCTAAATGAGTTAGGGTATTTATAGTTAAAGCTAAATGGGTTAGGGTATTTATAGTTGAAGCTTAAGGACTAATCTTGTAAATACTCTAAAATACAATGACTAAAATGTACAATTTTACCATGTCACTTTTCAACCATTATTAGTGTCATTTATGAACTATTATTGTTGCCAACTTACAATAAATTATGAACCATTATTATGCATTATGCAACTATTAATATATATTTTTTAAAATTTATTAGTTGCATAATAACTAATACTAAAAGTACCCTAAGCTCCTCTTAGAATAAAATATCCATTTTTTACGTTTAAAATTTAAAGATTATCGTGTGCATGAACCCTTCTTCTTTATAATTATCACGTTGATTTGTTATTAATTTCTCATAAAATTAATATATATTTAATAAAATTGTTGATTATTAGCTGTAATGATATCACGTGTTAAAATATATATAATTGAGCACATCGTGTCATTTAATTATTTTTGTTCTTTATTTTTTAGATTAAAACAATTTTAACATAACGTAAAAATAAATATATTTTATATGTTTAATTAAATAATTATTTTGATTATAATTTTACTTTTAATATTTTGATCCCTAACATTCTAGTTTATGATAAAATATCTTTGGGTTTGATAGAAATCATTAGTTAATTAAACGGTTAACGCTTATCGTTATAGATAGCAAAAAAAATTGAACCCGACGGTAAAAATCGAAAACCGAATTAAGTGGGTCGGGTTCAGGATGATAAACGAGGATGGAGACGGAGAAAAACCGTGTATGCTAAACGGAGACAGGGACGTGTTTGGTAATCCCCGCCCCGATTACCCTAATACCCGGCCCGATACCCAAACCGATAAATATTAAAAATAATTATTATATATATATAATATTAATAAATTTAATTTAAATTTAAATATATATATATATAATATTTATATATTTAATTTAAATATATATACTCGGCCCGATACCCGTTTAAATAATCGTTTATGCTAAACGAGGATACCCGTTTCCCCGCAGTTTTCCTCGATTATCCGATGGGGATCCCGTTTAAATCCCCGCGGTTTTTTAAGCGGAGACGGATACGAGTTTTTTAAACAGGAACGGGAAGACCAATACCTGACCCGAACTCAACCCGTTGCCATCCCTACTTATCGTTGGTGTGATAAGTCTTATTTATTTTAAGTGATAACATGATACATATTATATGCCTAAAGTAATAATACGACACATATTATATATTTAAAATTATGATATGACGTATATTTATACGTTGATATATATAATATGAATGAGTTTTAACATTTTTGTCTAAATGTGAAATTAAAAACCGTGAAACTAAAATCGAATTGTACGGCGGATCACTTCATATTTGAGGATGTTTTAGGTACGAAAATCAATGTTTTAATCCGAAGGATAACAAATTTCCAAAACTTTTCAAACCCATGAATTCCTAATCACCTCCCAATTGCCAACTTACAACCTCCATTAGTTGTGCTATATATGTATATATAATACATGCCTTCATCTTCACCACCTCCATCTCTCCATTCTCACAAGCACATTCCCAGAAAAACTCACGGAAAATCTCCTTCTTCGCTTGCATCAGTACTCATGTCCGCTCTTCTTCTCTTTTACCTTCTTTCCCTTGTTTTTTCCTTCACTCCGTCGTCTTCCACTCGAAACCCGAATTTCCCTGTTTCCTCCGAAATCCGCCTTGCATGCAAATCCACGCGCTACCCACGGCCTTGTAGGGCCTCCCTTTCAAAATCCTCCCTCCCTCCTAATCCAACTTCCCTCGATTTCGTCCGATCAGCCCTTACCGTCACTTACGACAAGCTCAAAACCGGACAATCCATGTTGAAAACCGTCCTCACCGCCTCCAGAGGCGACCTGAACCGCACCACCGCCGCGACCAACTGTATCAACATCCTTTATTACTCGGATTATCGCATCAGATCAACCAATGACTCTCTGAGTCGTGGAAAGATCAAGGACTGTCGTGCATGGATGAGCGCCTCCCTTGGCTACCATTTCGGCTGTTGGAGCGCGCTCAAGTACGTCAACACCACCAAACTTATCGGCAAAACCATGTCGTTTTTGGACGCTTTGACTAAACACACCAGCAACGCGTTGAGCATGATGGTGGCTTACGATAATTTCGGGAAGGACATGGCGGCGTGGGTCCCTCCCAAGACGGAGCGGGACGGGTTTTACGAGAAGGTGACGGGTGGGACGGAGCTGCGGTCTAAAGGGGGCGTTCCGTCGAACTTGAAGGTGGATGTAACGGTGAGTAAAGACGGAAGAGGAGGGAATTATAAGTTTGTGCAAGAGGCGGTGAACGCCGCACCGGACAATCCGGAGAGTACACGGCGATTCGTGATATATATAAAGGAAGGTGTGTACGAAGAAACAGTGAGGGTGCCGTTTGAGAAGAGAAATGTGGTGTTTTTGGGCGATGGAATCGGTAAAACCATTATTACAGGTTCTTTAAACGTGAAGATGCATGGAATCTCCACTTATAACACTGCTACGGTCGGTGAGTATCCCCACCCTTTCTCCTTTTTCCTCATTTTCTCTCTCAACCTGAACCAATTTCTCTCAAAAATTTTCATCAAACCCATCCCTCCCTTCTAAACGTGAATACCATATTCAAATAGCGGCCGAATAGCAGTAGTGTGAAACGGAATCACACCAAATAACGATGGATCGCGATCACTATTTCATGCTTAGTGGCTAATCGTGACAATAGTTGATCGTTATATTGTTATTTTTCTGCTATTTTAATTTTAAAAAAATCATTTCATTCAAAAAAAATTTACGACCATGATATTCGTAATGACCACAACAACATTGTTATAATCACAACTGCGATGAACGAAACGGATCAAAAATACGACCGTACCCGCAATTTAAATCCCTAGTCTTACCTATATTTGAGCTCTCTTGCACAAAGTTTTAACCTTTTTTCCGTAGAATTTCGACATAACCGTATAAAAATGGTACATTTGTTCGCAAGTTATTTGAATTTGAATTCAGCTTGATTAATATTTAGCCAAGCTCAAGTATTCACGAGTCTAACCGAACTTTTTTCTACTAAGCAATGGAAATCAGCAATTGGGAGAGATTTTGACAATGGGATTTAACTGTTGCAGGAGTTCTCAGTGATGGATTCATGGCAAAAGGACTCACAATCAGGAACACAGCAGGCCCTGATGTGCACCAAGCAGTGGCCTTCCGATCAGACAGTGATCTCTCCGTAGTTGAAAACTGTGAGTTCCTTGGCAACCAAGATACCCTCTATGCTCATACGCTCCGCCAGTTCTACAAGAAGTGCCGTATTCAGGGGAACGTCGATTTCGTGTTTGGAAACTCGGCCTCGATGTTCCAGGATTGCGAAATCTTGGTCGCTCCCCTTCAGTTAAACCCCGACCAAGGATCGAACAATGCGATCGCAGCTCTCGGTCGAACAGATCCTGCTCAATCAACCGGTCTGGTCTTCCAGAACTGCTTGATCAATGGAACCGATGAATACATGAGATACTACCGTAGCAATCCCAAAGTGCACAGGAACTATCTGGGAAGGCCGTGGAAGGAGTTTTCGAGGATTGTTTTTATGAACTGTGTTATGGAAGATCTTATTCATCCCGATGGATGGATGCCGTGGGATGGTGACTTTGCTTTGAAGACACTCTTCTTCGGTGAATTCGGGAATACCGGTCCGGGATCGGATCGGTCGAAAAGAGTTGCGTGGAGTTCTGAAATTCCAGCCCAACATATACATACGTATTCAGTCCAAAATTTCATTCAAGGAGATCAATGGATTCCATCATCGTCTTGATTCTTTCTTCCTTTATCGAGTATTAATTGTATTAATGTTTTTCGCTTATGTTAATTTGCCCTATCACCTCATATTTGTATATAAATATTTGATTATTATAAAATAATTATATAAATATTTGATTATTATAAAATAATTATATAAATATTTGCATCTAAAGTTTTTTTAGCACCTGAAGAATGAGAAACCTTTCTCTGGTCAAATCTGCAACCCGAGTCTCCTTTTTCCTTATATAATTTCATGTTGAGTTATTATTAATTTTTCACAAAATTAACGTATATTTAATAAAATTGTTAGGCCACGTATCTAACTATGTATATTAGGAGATTTCTCTCGCGTATGATAATCTTCTCTCGACCCTTTGCCCGTCGAATGGTGTCATGGTTACCGTTGTTGTGATGGTTGTTCCCCGGCCGAATGCCCTGGTTTCTGCCTTGGTGTCATAGGTTTCGGTCGGACATGGGATTCTCTGCCTTAACCATTATCATTGAACTAAATTGCGGTCATAGTTATAATTTCGGTTACGATCGCGGTATCACAGTTGCGAGTATTGCAGACGTTAAGATGTGGTTTATTTTCTAAGAATGACTATGTTTTATGTTGCGGATGCTGTTTTGCGATGTTGTGGTTATGAATTTAAACATTATGTCAAAGGAATAGGCAATAGGGTCTGTTATGTCCGCTATTATGGTGATAACGGACATAAGATGTCATTTTCGGTTATGTCCACTATTGCAATTGCGATAACGGATATAATATCTCATTTTCGGTTTCATTGTGTTTATTATAATTGCGGACATAACGGGTATTATAGGGATGATTTTGAGTATTACAGTCATACAAAAACAGATTTGAACAACACCATTATCGTTATATAACAGATTCTTTTGCGATGGCGGACTACTATATAAGTCCCTAATTACGATAATTTTAAAAGATATTATGATACGATTGTTACATTGTGTTATTGATGGAATTTAATACCATGCCCGTCACTCCTCCCAATTTGCCCAATTCTTGCAACCCAGTGCTTGTTGTTGCAGTTGGAATCGTTTTGTCCTTCAGTTTCTATTCATGTGTCTGGGAATGTCCACGTGTACGGCTAGCATTACGTGGGAGATCATCTGCATGAAGCATGCATTTTCGCACGTGCCATTAATTCAATGTCTATCTCGGGTTCCAGCCTTACCAAGTTATCCTGAATTTTTAATCACGGCGATTTCTTGAATAGCTTTTCTGATTCCACAAGTTTGCGTCATGTCTACGATTACTCTACCGCTTGCACTATATCTTTCGTTGAAGATTTAGGGGTATAATTTAACATAACTTTCGATGACTTGTTCGTATAACGTTCTGTTATGAACCAAATATAATTAATTCAGTAAACACAGCAAACTTTGGCCTCGTCAACATCGGTGAAGAAGAAGAGTACGTATGAGAGAAGGCATCCCAAGGCTTTATCAATTTGGTTAGTAGGTTACTACAGATGGTTATATATAGGCAATAGAGGATAGAGACAAAGGCGTGAAATATTGTTGAAACTTGTTATCTTCTCTCCTCTATGATTTTCTCTAGTCTCTCTTCTATTTCGTCTTTTATGTTCCATCGTTGTAATTCTCTTGTTTTCAATGAACATCAATCTTCTGTATTTCAATTCATATCGTGAATTCTTAAGTACATAACACGTTCGTTAATGTTCGTTTGTTGAGCTAAATAAACAAGTATAAAAAAAATATGTTCATTTAATAAACGAACGAACATAAGTGTGTTCGTATCATTTATGTTCACGAACAAGCTCGTTTATTTACTTGTTCATTTTGTTCATGAATAAGTTTGTTTACCCATTCCTCTTTTTCCTTTTATTTTTTTTACATTTTAAATATTTGTGAAAGTATGGACTAAATTGAACACATGATATAGGTTGAAATTGAAATTGTGAATTTTAAAAGAGTTTAAGAATAGTGGTATAATTTTATCATTTTTTAAACTTACAAATGAAAGGGTAAAACTAGAATTTGAACATATAAAAGGACGATAAACGAACACGTTCATGAACGCTAAATAAACATGTTCTTGAACATATAAACGAACATGCTCATGAACATTAAACGAACATGTTCGCGAAGAATAAATAAACGAGCATAAACACGAGATTAAAAATTCAAACGAACACGAACCGAAAATGAACAATTTTAAAAATGCACAAGCGAACTCGAACATAACCTTATTCGTTCAACCTCAGTTTATTTACACCCCTAATAGGATCGTGATAATAATACAAATTATTGGAGGGGTAAAGTTTAAAAAATATGCTAAAATTATTAAAAAGAATTGTTGAATTTTATGAGGGACTAGGAAGATAGTTTGACCGTTTATCTAGGTGGGCACAGGACAATGGCTCTAGGGCCTAGGCTTTATTTTTCTACCTACAGTATGAAGTAAGTGCATAGATTAGGGGAAAACATATTATGTTAGTTATCCCAGTTTAATTCAATTAAACACCGAAGGAGATAAGATCAAATAAACGTTAGGTTAATAGTAGTATTCCCATACGAAGCCAATGTCTTATGATGAAGTGCAAATTTTTAAAAATTCATATTATAAATTTGAAAATAAAAAAAATTATTAATAAAAATATATTTATTTTATACAAAATTTAATTTTTTTTTAAAGAATAAAACTGTTTAAATACCCTTCGATCCATCAAAATAGTAGGATTTATATCCAATTATAAAATTAAAGGTGACAAGAATTGATGTAGTCTGTAAATCATCTTACATTGGCATAAAGGAATAGGTAAAATATTGAAATTATTTAATGTGCAAAAGAATATATGATTCCAATAAATATATTTAAATTATTCGTATAGCCTCCTATTATTGTTTCTTTTTGATGCATTATGAAATCTGCAAGCATTTATATTATAACATATTTTATTATTTATACTCCATGATCATGGTAGGCGTTTTTTTCGAAAAATTATCGGTGATAGGTATATTTATTGATTTAATATCTATTAGAATATATTTTTTGATCTAACACTCGTAGCAGTAAAACGCGTTTCCTGTCCTACGTTATATGATGATTTGGCGTCATGTGGTATAGTGCGCCCCCTGATCCGTGCTATACGCCACGTAAAGGTATAGCGCCGCCCTTGCTCAGCGCTATACCTGAGTATGAATTATATTTAACGCGGACTGTGATCCGCGCTATACCTTTTATCTAAATAATTACATATAGCGCGGTTCATGTACCACGCCTTATATGGTTATAAAAGCCCTTTACTCCCGGTTAAGTTTCTCACATCTCTCATCTCAACTTATAAATTAATACAACAATTCCGTCAACGAGTAATAATTCTAGTAATTTTCTCATATTTGATTTAGAAGTTCGTGCGATTTTTCGTTATAAATTTTTTTATTATATTTATTGTTTATTATGATTATTTGAAAAAATATTATACTAATTATTTTCAATTAATTTTTGTGTTTGTAAAATTAAAAAGCAGGAACATATGTCAAAATAGTTTTGCGGTGCATATAATAATATAAAATTAAATTATTTAAATTATTTATGTTGATGTGTAAAAAATTTATTGTGTTATATTTTCGTTCATATATAATTTATTTAATCAGGTTTGTTTCAGTTATTTTTTTTGCAGATATAATATTACCGTACTTTTAAACTCAAAGAATGACACGACTTTCATCTATTGTTTATTATGATGGTGAAATTCGAGAAGATGAAACCACCTTTCATTATATATCTGCAAAAAAATTATATTAGTAAAATATTAAATAAAGTAAAATGCTTAAATAAATTAAATACATACTATTAAAAATATTAGAAAATATACCTTAAATAGATAGAGTATTTGAGAGAATTTGAGAGAATATGGTGTGATGAAAGTAACAGAGGATGGGGGCGCGCTATACCTACGTGTAAGCCATGTCAGCATATAGCGCGGTACAAGGGATGCGCTATACAACACGTGACGCTAAATCAATATATAACGCGGGTCAGGAAGCACGCTTTACTGCTACGGATGTTAAATCAAAAAATATAATCTGATCAATATTAAATCGATAAATATATAAATCATCGGTAAATTTTCAGAATAAATGCCATCATGTTATATCTAAAATTATTAAAATGTAATATATGAAATAGAGATGATGAGGGGGTAGTGGGGTGGGTATAGAAGGTAAGGGACAACAGCGCTGCATGGTGGCACGATCTGCTTGCTGCCCTTCCACTCACATTGGATATCCAGTCATTTCACACTCAAAGCACCTAATCATTCACTTTCCATACATAAATGTACCCCCTAAATCATTCTTACCTTTTAAATTTAATTATTTTATATTTAAAAATTTATTATTTTATTCTCTACTTTCCCTTAAATTATTATTTTCTCATAAAAGTTATATTATTTTGAGTATATTATGTATTTAGTGCCTAAACTATCAGTTTTGATCCGTTTTAGTATATAATTTTTTTATTTTTTTCAAAACCATACCTAAAGTTTAGTTTTTGTTTCATTTTAGTACCCATTCAAAATTGAACATTAAGTTTTTAAAAAAATTGAAAGTTTTGGTACTAAAACGTATCAAAATTGATAGTTTAGATACTAAAAACATTAAGTTTTTAACGGTGTGATACTGAAATGAAACAAAAACTAAACATTAGGTATGATTTTGAAAAAATAAAATAAATGTTTAGGTGCTAAAATAGACTAAAATTAATAGTTTAGGTACTAAATGTATAGTTTATCCTATTATTTTTTAGTATAAAAACAAGATTACATGTTGAGTTCATTCGATTTGATAATAAAAAATTAAATTAATAAAACTTTAAAATATACAAAATTTTAAAATTAAAAATATTATTATGCCAAAGACAAAATAATATATTTATAATAATATTATAATTAAGTAAAATATTTATAGTTTTATTACAACTTAACTCGTAATTAAATGATTTTGAATATAATTTATCCATTCCTTTTAAAGAACCACCCCTAACAAAAATCAAATCAATCTCTTTTTCAATATTTCACTAACAGAATTTTCGTTTGATTTACAAGCTTGGGTAATTTTCCCTCCTCTCGTTTCTTCAACAAAAGAAAGGGAGGGGAAAGTAACGGAGAAAGCAAATTCATCAACAGGGCATAATATGCGTAGTCTTAGTATCGTAACTTGACAAACAAGAGTTGGATTTTACCCGAAAAATCTTGAGCAAATCCGCTGACATTTGCTTAATAGCTGAAGAACAATCTCTTTGCATTAGCAACAAGAACTTGGTCATCCCGTTGCTACTACTCACCACAGCTTCTCGAGCTTTCTCCTCTCTAAACAAACAACAAACGCTCCAAAGCACCGTCACCGCATGCTCCGTCGCTTTGCTCGATACTTTGAGTACTTTCTGCACAATCGCCTGTAACAATATTGAATCATGCTGTATCTCCACTCTCCCTTCTTTGCAAAACGATGACGTTTCCAGCAGTTTTAGTGATTTCTCGATTACCGAAACGCTCATGTTTGGTTCGGATAAGAGGTTCTTTAGTTTCGGGATGATTCGATATTGGATTAGCTTGGGTTTTACTCTTTTAGGCTTTGTGATTGTGCTCAAACAGGATAAGCTCGCCTCGATCAGTCTTTCATCCTTCTCTTTGCTTAATGATTCCACTAATTGGAGCAATAAGCCCTCTTTTTCGGCTATTTTGAGCTTGGATTCTCCATCGATTGCTATGGACTCCAGTAATCGAAGCGATTGGATTTGCGAATCTGAAGTTCCTCGTTGTAGAATGACAAGAATCGTTGACAAGCAATTTGATTGCAGCAACGGCTCCTTGTCCTGAATTTTGCTTTGAATCAAATCCAAAATCCTAACAATTTGTTCGATTAATTTGATGTCCGATTCCGCTTTCCTCATGAAATCAAATACCGAGTTAAAAAACCCGTCCATTCTTGCGAGGAATTCACGATTCTCCTCCGATTCTCTCGCGAAACAAACAATCTTCATTAACGATGAAAGACAACTGCTATCAAGCTGTTTGACCAAGAGTTTGACTTGATCTTGAGAAGGAACGCCTGAGTTGGCACCTGCCAGCTCGGCGTCGACTTGACGCCGAGCAACCGAATCGAACCAGACCTGAATGAGTCGTTGTAAATTCCTGTTAGGAACGAATTCTTTGCTTTGAAGAACTTGCATCGTGGCCGGACACGTGTTGTTGCCGCTGTCTAGCCACCGTTGGATGCTGGCTCGGTCGTAAGTTACGCCGGTGCACAAGCTCACTGGGGATTTCATCACGTCCAATGATATCGGACACCTGAAAAGACTGGGAACCGTAATGTACAAATCATCTCTTTTCATTGTTTTTTTTATTTCTTTTACCCGTTTGGACGGCAAGAAAGTGAGAGAAAAAGGAAAAATCGGAGAGAAAGTGAAAGAAAATCAAAAAAGAAAGAGTGAGAGGTGGTAGAGGAGAGTGAGATGCAGGTTTAAAGACAGAGAGAAATAGTCAAAGGATTACTGACGCCATTAACTGCTTTTTAGTGTTAAATACACAATCAGTCCCCGACCTTTATAAACAAATCACTTTAGTCTCTTAAAATTTAAAATATAGTAATTTGATCACTCATTACAAGTGTCAATGTATCATAATGAATTGATCATCTTATAGATTTCAATTAGTTTTCTTATTTATCTATAAAAGTGGAAAGAAGCATAAAGTTATATAACTTTAAATGCCAGGCTTCTGGAGCTGATCGACGTACTTAGTAATAGGAAAATAGATTTTGCATGTATTCAGGGGACTAGGTGGAAAGGGGCTCGCGCCAGAGAGTGTAATGGGTACAAGTTGTGGTATTCAGGCGTAGATAATGCTAGAAATGGGGTGGGTATCTTGGTATCCTCTAGGCTCAAGGAAAATGTAGTTGAAGTTTGTAGATACCGAGATAGGATCATGATGATTAAGGTTATTATAGAATAAGAAGTGGTGAATGTCCTTTCAGTGTACGCCCCACACGTTGGCCTAGGGGAGGGGGAGAAACGTTGCTTCTGGGATCAGTTAGATGATGTACTTAGGAACATTCCGGAGGAACAAAAAGTTTTTATAGGGGGAGACTTCAATGGCCATATAGGTAGTGCAACTGACGGGTATGATGGTGTTCATGGGGTTTTCGGGTTTGGTAGTAGGAACGAGGAGGGGCATATGTTGCTTGAATTTTCTACTGCACATGATATGGTGCTCACAAACTCCTTCTTTAATAAGAGAGATGTGAACTTGATTACATTCCAAAGCGGGGACATTGTACCCAAATCGATTACATCCTGGTTCGAAATAGGGATCAATGGGCTTGCATTGACTGTAAGGTGTTCCCTGAAGAGGCATGTGCATCACAACACAGATTATTGGTTTTGGTGTTCCGCGTACGCCAAGGGAAGAGCACTCATAGGAGGGCTAAACTTGGTAAACCTAGAATCATATGGAAAAACTTATATGAAGCGACAACTGATGACTTTAGGAGTAAGGTTTTATCTTCTACAAGTTTTGGAACTACAAACTCAAATAATGTAGATATGTTATGGAAAATATGGCAAATTCCATCAGAGAGGTGGGCACAAACACCCTTGGGTGGTTGACAGGAAAGGTCAATGAACATAAATAATCGTGGTGGTGGAACGACGAAATTCAAACTAAGGTGAAGACAAAGAAAACTTGCTTCAAGGAGTTCATACAATACAATGATGACGAAGAAAGATCGAGAGCTAAACAAAGATACAAGGAGGCAAAGCGGGAAACCAAGAAAACAGTGGCTAAAGCAAAGGATAAGGCATATAAAGTAATGTACAAGAGATTAGACACCAAGGAATGACAAAACGACATCTTTAGGCTTGCAAAATCCAGGGAAAATAGGAAAAAGGATCTAGGTAACATTAGGTGTTTTAAGGACAACAATGGTGTTCTTTTAGTGAAAGATAATGATATTAAGAGGGTTTGGGGTAGTTACTTCTTTGGCTTATTTAATGACGGTGCCCCTCCCTGTAGAGATAGTATCGTTGATGGGTCAGTCGACCATCATACTACGGCTAATGACTGCCCTACAAGTAGGATTGGTTTGAGGAAGTCAAAATGACTCTTAGAAAGATAGGGAGGGACAAAGCTGTCAGACCGGATCAGATTCCTATCACTGTGTGGTTGGCCCTAGGAGAAGAGGGAGTTAAGTGGTTGAAAAACATCTTTAATATTATTTTAGAGACTTCCAAGATGCCAGAGGAGTGAAGAGAGTCTACGGTGATACCAATCTATAAGAATAAAGGAGACCCCCAACGTTGTGGCAACTACAGAGGTATAAACTACTCAGTCATACCATGAAGCTATGGGAAAGGGTGATAGAGGCTAGGTTGAGACAGGTTACTAGGGTTTCGGAAAACCAATTTGGCTTCATGCAAGGCAAGTCTACTACGGAGGCGATTCATCTACTTCGACGTCTTATGGAGAAATATAGGAGAAAAAATAGAGATCTTCACATGGCGTTCATTGACATTGAAAAGACGTATGATAGCGTTCACGCGATACGATCTGGAGGACCTTGGAAATGAGACGGATCCCAACTGCTTATATCCAGGCGATTCGTGATATGTACTGTAGATCTACTACTTACGTCAGGACTACAGTTGGCGACACCGAGGCATTCACGGTGGAAATCGGACTCTACCAGGGGTCGGTTCTTAGCCCTTACATCTTTTCCTTAATTATGGACGACATATATTCTGCGACACCAGACGGTGTTCCCTGGTGTATGCTTTTCGCTGACGACATTGTCCTAGTAGCTGAAACAAAAACTGAGCTAAATAGAAGACTGACTGCTTGGAAGACTGCTTTGGAAGAAAAAGGTCTAAAGATCAATATTGAAAATACTGAGTATTTATGCTCAAACTTCAGTGGGAACCAAAACGATGATGATGTAGAAGTATGTATAGAAGGACACGTGATCCCCTCAAAGGAATATTTCAAGTACCTAGGGTCTATGATACATAAATATGGGGGTGTAGAAGATGACGTTGCACATCGTATAAAGGCGAGATGGTTAAAGTGGAGGGCTGCTACTGGAGTTTTGTGTGACAAGAATGTGCCTTTAAAACTTAAGGGAAAATTTTATAGAATGGCAATAAGACCAGTGCTGATGTATGGATCAGAATGTTGGGCAATCAAGAAGGATCACGTAAGGATGATGGAGGCCGCAAAAATGAGAATGCTTCGATGGACATGTGGTAGGACTCTGTGGGATATGACACCAAACTCTGCTATTAGGATGTCCTTGGGGGTGGTGTCTGTATCCGAAAAATTAAGGGAGGGAAGACTACGGTGGTTTGGGCATATCCATAGGCGACAACCATCGGATGCGGTCAGGAGGGTTGAGTCGATTACAGTCGACGGTGCCAGAAGGAGAGGACGACTAAGGTGGAAGTGGGAAGACTGCTTGAGATCTGATTTGAAGGATTTAGCCATTACCGAGGACATGACCTCTGATAGGAAAGTATGGAGACTTAAGACCAAGGTAGCCGAGTAGTGCGGGTCACAGACATAGGGTGTAACATATCTGTCTTCTTTTTAATGCCTTTGTAATAATTTCCATGACTTCTACTTATATACGTGTATGTTATTATAATTTATGAAGGCTTAGAACTAGGGTAGCGGATTAGTGTTGCCTCAGTTTATGTTTTAACCCATTTGACTTTATTCCTTCTCGTAGCTTTCTATCGTTTGACCATTGTGTATCATTCTCTTTAGGTTTCCTGTTTTTAAATTTAGTCGGATCTTACGTTTCTGTCTATATGCAGAGATTTTTACGCAATGATTTATTTGCAGGGATTACTCCCCATTACAGACGAGCATATTGAAGACTACATAGGAAGTCTTTTCAACTATGTATTTAGTTATTTATTTATTATACAAGCATTGTATTTTATCTTTATTTTTAATTCTCTTCCTGCCGGAGGTATTCCACAGAAGCTGCTCTCAATCCTGGCGTTGGGGGTAGCCTACTACCCTACCTCCCCCTTATCCTATTGTATATGAGAATAGGGTTTTGTTGTTGCTCAGAATCAAATGTGCTTTGTATATCAGGCAGTGGCTATCGAAAGTTCACAACCCCAGGATTGCTTTCCGGCCTAAGTGAGCTATGTCATCAACAAGCTTGTTGGCTTATCGGGATATGTATCGAATCTTGAGGACCTATGGGCGTTGGAGGAGAAAACTATTCTTCTAATCATTGTAGCCTTCGATCACCGAGGGTTAGAGTTCAAGGTGTTAGCCACCTATATTGTTCAATACTTACAACATAAATGACATATAATAATCTATAATATTGACATTTTCTATTGGGCAATAATTTTTTGATATGTTATGATTACTAGACAAATATTTATGTAGACTTTTCTTTGATGTGTATTTATCTGTGCTTTGTAACGGATGTATAAGAATCTTATGCTTGCTTCTTTCTCGTATGAAATTTATATATAAAAAAACAAAAATTCTTAAATACTCCATCCATGATACATATATACATTAGCTGACCCTTATTCCCATATGTAATGGGGTAAAGGGGAGGTAGAATAGTAGGTTGCTCCCAACGCCAGGTTGATAACAGCTTCCGTAGGAGACCTCCGAATTATAAAATGCCCTCCGTGAGACTCGATCCCACGACCCCAATGTTAAAAGCCTTGTGCTCTACCAGCTGAGCTGGAGGGTCATTTCCCATGATACATATATACATGAGACTTAAATCTAGAGCTTAAAAGTTTTCAAAATTTCTCCCATTACATTGAATAAAGACATCATTGATTGATAATGCATGTTTTCATAATCCTATAAAAAGGTCATATAGATGTAAAAGTTAAAATTTGAAAATAATGGTTAGTTTCCAAGATTTGATGAAAGTTTGAGTATCATAAGTGAAGTTAACTCCTTTTTTTTAAAAAATATTCTCCCTCTTTTTGAGTCGTTGGTCAAGGGAGAATAAGGTTTTGAAAATGGGGGCATCTTTAGGGCGTGTGGTTCGGATTTTGAAATTTAAAATTTCAGCCGTAGGATGAATGCCATAAAAGGCGTCAATGAAAATTGAACGGAGAAATAAACGCGTATAATGAGGGAACGGGGTGAGGGACCCACTGGAAGGTTACGTCGGTCGGTCTTGATTGCATCATCTTAAAGTTTATTTTAAGATCTATAACATTTATTATGAACTTTAAAAAAAATTTTTTAAATTTATTATGTGAGTACGACGAATTTCGAAAAATATAAATATTTATTAAAATATATCACATTTGAATAACAAATTAAAAAAATACATTTTACTAGAACTCATCGTATACAATTACGAGTTTCAAAACATTATAATAAGTACAGTAACTTATTGATTAATTTTTTAATCATTCTAAAACTAAAATAATT